TTAGTATAGTCCTATTACAAAACTTGCACTGCTCCTCTGTAGTTTTTACCAAAATGATGAACCAACGTTGCTTCTGCAGTCACTCAAATCGGCACTGAAATCAGAAGATCGACTCGTACGACTGTTGTATTATGCCTCATGCGCGAGTGTCGCGCATATAAGTTGTCTACATGGGACTGTGGAGACCTAGAGTCATCAAGAAAGCGTCAGAAGACTTGTACAGACTACAAAAGATCCCAGGGACAAGCACCATGCTAAAGAAGCGAGGATCAACCCCAATCAAAGAATCACCATTCAGAATGTACAATAATAATAAATCTGATGCATTAATCATGTTAAAACTGTCTCAAGTTTCTAGATTGCCATTAACGGTTGTCATGGCCATTTACCATACGGAGGTGAGTCCATCGACAATAATACTACACAAACAGATTTAAGACTAGCAAGCATGAGGAGCCCACTAGCACACAGCCCCCTGGAAATGAATCTAGGACTGGTTGATTTTGGTAAATACGCGACAACGCCGACAGACACAGAAAACGCATTTGAGCCAATCAAAGCAATTTGGGACAAAGAAGCTGAGCCAATGGGAGAATCATCAGACAAAGAAGAAGGCGACACCCCTACACCATCTATACTGGACGCTATCCAACGCACACAGCCTCGGCTGATTAACAGAGATGTACCACCAACAGATACAGAAGAAGCAAACCAAACCAGACAGGTCCATACCACAGAAACCATCACAGAAGAACTCAATCTACAGAGTTTATACAAACAAACCACACAATCCAAGGACAAATTATACGTCATAGGTTGAACAACTGGTACGTGATACAAATCAACATGGAGGAGACCAACGAGAAACTAGCAAGAACAAAAGGACAGTATCACTGCAAGTGGTACATACCAAAACCCACCACTACAAAGCAAGGCTCCCCAATGACCAGCCCCTTTTGGCCCCTAATCAAAGAATTCACCAACGAGACAACATACAGCCCAACAGTACCCATCAGACCCAGCAAAGTAGACCAGGTGCTAAACAAGAGTCCGCACAAATATGCCTGGTACCAGAAAGAGATCAACATTGTTGAAGACGGCGTATACGGACTATTCGACTTTGAACGAGATTACAAAATACCGGACGTGGTGTCTTGGCTTGTTTCTTCAAACTTCTCTATTCCAACTCATATTTGTCGTCCATGGGTATATATATATATCATGTCTGGAGGGGTTGGAATGCGGGGTCTCTAGGTAGGAGTGATCAAACCACAGTGACGTGATGTGGGTGATCAAGAATTCAGTATACATTCCGGAAATTGTCAAGAACCTTTCCCAGTCCCCGTATCGGCACCCAAACAAGGGCGGACCTTCACCAATGCTGTCAATATACCTATAGGTATCAAAATCTGGCGGTGTTTTGGAGGGCTGCAATGGAAAAGAGATGTTTGGCTCCTTTTTTTCCCCTTCCACCTTGTTCCAATAATTCAATTGAATTGGAGGAATTTCCTTGAATCTGATTGTTCTACATCAAACTTTGCATTTCAGAGTATACAGAAATCTAGTATAGATACAACCGAAAGATACTGTAGGTCGCAATAACACAATTTGTAATCACAACAAGGTCGTGTGGTACAAGATAGGACTCTTGTGTGTTTTTGGTCAAAGTCGAAGAAGTCAAAGCTAAGGTCTGCGGACTTACTTTTGATCGCCACAACTAAATTACACCATACAAAATAGAACGAGGCTGAATGACTATTATGCTTGCGTAATCCCTACGCACGCAAGGAGTGTCAATATCCGGGTCCGCAAGAAATTGCCGGTCTCAGGTGTAAACGAAGGACACTGTGTATTGGACCAGGGGTACTAGAACAGGATTCTCTTTCAGATCTCTATTCAACAGATCCGTTGCAATCTCAATGGAGCTGCCGGTCTCCACCATGTTTGCAATTGCAGTCTCGGCAATAGATCCAGGTTCAATATTTGGTTTGCGACCTTGGCCATTTCTCACTGCTGGGCCATAGACAACGCCAGATTCAAAACACTTCATAATGGCTTCTAGGACGTTTTAAGTCTTTCCTAATCTTGGACTGGACTCCAGTTGTGCCCTTCCAGAGTCTCCTTGCAGGAGCACCATACACATGAACGAACAGATATGCGATTGCCTACCTCTTTGATTCCAACCTGTTCACGCAGAGATTGGAGTTTTCGATTAGGCCTTATGGCGGAAGGTCTTCCAAAAGAACCTGCTCAAAGTTAGGCTCCAATTCATCATCGTGTGGTGGTTCTTCATAGTTGATTTCTTGGGTATTTGGTGGTAGTTCCTTGTTGCACGGCAGTTCATCGTCAATGGTGGTGGTGGGGACTTTTGGAGCAGCAGATTTCATAGTCTTTTCCACCTGCTGTGTAGACTGTAGCCCCTTTCTCTTTGCTTTTGTACGCTTTGCAATCAACTTTCTTTTTCTTATGGGCATGCTGACAATTGATGATGAAAATGACGAGGATGATGATATCAAAGGCGGAAAAGGAAAGTTCAGCAGTTCTTGGAGGGAAGGTAGAAAAGCAAGTTTTGCGCAGACCCGGTACTTAGTATGATGTGTATGTACAATGGACTGGAAAATATTTAAAGGGCGAAACAATTTGCACGTTTGCGCGCATGTCGTGCATACAGACACGGAGGTAATCAACCTTGGGGCTCTAAAGGCTTTTGCTGTAGTGCCTGATCCAGAAAACTGAATTGACCACAGTCTCCACAAATATATTTAGGAACCTTTTGTAAAGGGAATTATTGGCATAGCTGCTTTTCCCCAGGAAGAGTTAGAGCCCCAGTAAAAAGGTGTCACTATATTCCAGGTAGGTATATTCAATTTGTCTTCCGTCTCGCCGATCAAATAACAAAAAACGGAGGGGTACTAAAGTATCAGCGGCTTATATGGGGCAAACGTTGTCATAGTTGATCATGGTCTACCTACCCCACAATTTACTTCGTCCTGTTGGCATTCTCCAAGAACAACTGCAGTACGCAAATCCCATACAAATAAAATAAATACATTATCATGGTACCTCCCTTTATGCTGCATTTGACAGGACTATCTTTGTTCCATACCACCAATGGGTGTTCAAGAAGGTTTCAGAAAACAATTGAGTTGTTGATGTTTTCATCAAGCCTGCCAACATATATTGTTTGGCTTTTGATGGATTTGATTCAATTTCAAGAGCTGTTTCACTTGGCTTTGACAGTCTTTTTTGAAAAAAGGCTGTTAACACATGAGGTCTAAATCAATTTTTGGAAACTTGCCGTTGATTTGCATAGAATCCAAGTTTCTGGTAGGATGTGTCATGAATCATGCCTAGAATAGTACCTTTAAATTTTGCGCGCACCTTCGTGGCTATTCGTAGAAATTGTGCCAAATGGAAACTTCCATTTCCATCGTCAACCTCCTGGAGGCTCGTTGGCATCAACAAAACATTGTTGTGCAAGAATTTTTTGAATATTCTCGTTCATTATGTATTGAACAAGCCCAAAATCGAAAAATCTTTGCACAACAAAAGATCGCACCATTGCAATCTACCAAAAATGGCTGATGGATGGTGAGCTTTGACAGACTTGCGTCCATCGTCCGCCCAGAGGAAATGGATGCAGAGCTAAGGATATCTTTGTATTATTCATATCTATCTGAGCGCATTGGTTTCTTTGGTCTCCAAAATGCCCACTGAAGCACACAAACACTTTCTTGACAGTTGTATTCAGAAGGTTTTTGAACTCTTTAGGAAGTGGAAAGGAAAAAGGCTTGAACCATTCTGCGGAGATTGCTTCTCTCGTTATCGCAAAGGCCTTGCCACCATCTTATGGTTGCTATCATGGTCCGTGCAAAACAATTTTCTACAGAGTCCATCAAGTGGCAGAACTTGTCAAAAACAGATGAATTGCATGGCATGGGTCCCACGAGAAAAGAGAACTGAATTAGCAGCTATGGCAAGCTCCCTTTTCAATTTTTATATCGCCTTAATCATACTACAATCAACCATGGTTCGTCCACCTGGTTCTGCAGGGCGGTCCTTTGGGGTCCATAATGGGCTCCACATGCAAAGAAAGTCTTTCTCCGAATGGTGGTAGGCTCTATTGGTGTCTATACTATGTTGGGGCCTTGCTGAGTTGCTTCATGTACTTTGGTCGCAGAGAGACTTGGATTTTCATTTTTTTATCCTTTCGGTCTGCCATCGTTCGGCAGGTCCCAAAGGCCGCTCATGGCTGCCATGGTAAGGGACAGCCACTCAACAATGTACCAACCAGTCTCACACATTGATCCTTGTGGTTCGAAGAGTATGCGACTTAGTCATTGATTTGGCCTGAATCAAGCGCACGGTGGCCTGAATGGGTCAGAATTCACGCAAGCTTTGCCCCAAACCAGTATTTGTCGAATGGTGGACCTAATTACTCTGCATTTCTTTATTCTAACATACATTGGTTCTCTATGGGTACATGTAACAACGACAGGTTGGTTGAATTGGGAGTTTTCTAGGTAGAAGGGATCAAACTGCATACATTTGACCTGGATGATCAAATGGGCCTACAGTCCAAAAGTTGTTGAGAATCTTTCCGAGGGCCCCGTGCCCGTACCCAGACAAGATCAGACCACCATCAAAGTTGTTATTATACCTATAGGGATCAGGATTTGGCGATGGTATGGAGTGCTACGATGGAAAAGAGATGTTCGGCAACTGTTTTCTTTTGACTTCATTCCAACATTTCAGATGATTTGGTGGAAATGCCTCAATCTTATGTTGGAAAGTGTATTAGATACTTAGATTGGACTATAGTCAGATTAAGGTAGCCGGGTAGGCGAAGCGGTTCGATTTCGTAATACCTTATATTTGACATGGTAAGGTTATGGGATCGAGTCCTCGGTTCACATTGCCCTTGTCGATCTTGGAAATGAATGCCAACTGTCTGCATCAACAGGATATAGATGGACGTGTGAGGGTTTCGACACCAGAAATGGGTGTGCGAGGCCAAAGGGCTATATCTAAGTATCGAATAAGGGAGGATGTTGGAACGTGTATTAGATACTTAGATTGGACTAGTCAGATAAAGGTAGCCTGGTATAGGCGCAGCGGTTCGATTCCATAATACCTTATATTTGACACTTATACGAAATATTGTAATTCAAAGTGCATACATCACTAATCTGTATACATTGAGCAAATAGTACACATTCAAAAACAAGATATGTAATCACAACAAGGTCGTTTGTACGGTTTGAGGCTTGCCTCTTGGTTACTATTTTTTAATCGCACGAGTCATTATTGCCGATAGACTGACTGACTCAATCGAATGCAGGTTTTGTACCACGTTAACGCATTTTGTACGGCGGGCAGTCTGATCGTGCGTGAAGTGGACTGTACCAGTATTCTTCGAGAGAAGATACCTCGCGCCATATAAATCTCACTCTTGCAAGTTGATTCCGCCTATAAGAAGCAAAACTGTTTCGAACCGTGACACAGGACTTTTTGACACCGTCGAAACAACCAAAACTCCCATCTAAAGTACCAGAAAGATCTTTGTGCGATTCGTATACGCAGCACTTATTATCTCCAAGCAAGGCCATATCAGGTAACATCTCTGCTGTCGCTATGCAGGAACTACTCTCTCCTGCAAAAGAGATCGATGATGAGATATCTGTTTCTCGGATGCTAAGGAGAATGAAGAGGCGTCTTCTGCTCGGCTCTTCCTATCCTGGGTTGGAGACCCCTCCGGCCACCACAGCAAGAGCGGTGAGAACCAGTGTCAACGAGCGTCACAGGTCAACTATGAAAGAACTGTCATCGTTGGAGCCTCCAGTTTCTCCTCGAAGTGAAGACAGTGAGGGCATCAGTAAGGATCTGTCTACCCGAAGTGATCCTGGCCCAGATGCTGTGTTGATCCGAGACGGCGTTCGGAAGCTTCGGAAAATGAAAAGACGTCTATTCTTGGAACAGCTGGCCTGTGATACAGCAGCTTCTCAAAACGTAGCTACTCGATGTCTCTCTGGACCAGCTGCCATATCTCCGATGAAAAACGACATGTTTGCTGATGGAATCCATCGTCAACTCCAAGTGGTTACTGACATCATGGCCAATGCTATGGAAACAAACTCCGAATTGTCTAGCCCAAACCTATCCTCCACAAGTCTTCGTCGTATCAAACGTCGATTGTTCCTAAACCACCTCGATTGCTCAGATCTTGAGAATAGCAGCAGGATGCTCATCGATGATGACAGTGAAATACATCAGAAGGCAGGCTCCTCATCTCTGGATGAGGCAAAAGCGTTCATCAACGGTGGAGACATGCTCAGCTCTTGGTCGGATAAAGTCGAACATGACCGCACTTTAAGAGGCCTCCCGCCAAAAAAAGCTGTGCCTTTCATACCCTCAATCAGCCTCGAGATTGAACAACCACAAAAGGATGAAGGCGGATGGAGGTCCACAAGCTACGGTATTGGATAAGCTTTCTTCCAATCTTGAATTCATTTCATTGAATGACTGATTACTGCACAGCCTACTATCAGGCTCCAACCAAAGTCTATGCTTTCGGACAATATCATGAAAAGATGATGACCGAGAGAGCAGCAGTTTCGTGATATACATCAGCCAGCGAATATCCTTCCGTGCATTCGACCTCTCAGGATACGTTCTATTCATGCTAATTTGTTAAATTTGATTATAATACGAATTAGGTAAGAACAAATTTGGCTCCTCCCAATACATTTCACAACAGTGAAGGCAGCGCATTCCCCGTACCTGCATCGCCTCGGCGTTGTTCTTCGTGCCACATAGTATTTGAAAAGCTACGTTCTCAAAAGTGCAGTATATCTATGGTCATTGTGATCCGGTATGAACCGTATACTGGGCGAGAGTAGTTACCTTGACTTTGTGGTATTCGCTGTTGAACCTTCAATCAAATACCATATGCTGGGTGAGACTCTTTGCCTTAACTCTGTTGTGCTCGTATTCTGGGCGAGAGGGTTTGCTTTGACTTTGTGGTGTTCGCCGGTGATATTCAATCGCAGCCAAATAATCCCAAACTTTGGAAAGCACAACAGGGGCTCGCTGCGATTTCTGATAATTGTACGGCCTTTCGCTCAGTCTTCTTGGGATCTTTCTTCATACATTTTTAGATCACTGTAGTCTTCAGCCATTTCCATGCAATCTCGGAAACCTCCTTTCAATTCATTTGGGAGAAATTGCTCGTATCCATCCATTAAATAGTCCCGAAGTTTGTCTTCTGAGATGAATTGAAATCTCTTGACATATTCTGGGGATAGAAGTTCCTTCATCTGCTTCCAAGAGTTATCAAATCGTTTAGTGGCTCCAACGACTAGAATCAATCTTACTTTTGTAGGTACCAGCTTCCCCTGAATTGCCTTTGCGAACAGTGATATGCTTTCTTCGTTATGATTCCTTCCATCAATGAATCCTTTCGTGTTGAGAACCATGGCTACACCATTGCGACAGTTGTCTTCTGTTCGACTCATATCGTTAAAAACATAACATATGTTGTCCACCAGCCGTTGATTTCTCGCTTCGGATGGCATGAATCTTGATTGCCTGTAATATAAAACTTCAGATTTGTTGTCTTTTGTCTTCAAACCCGACAATGGAAAGACGATTGTCTCTAGCAGTTGTTCCTGTAAAGAGGCTTCCATGCGCAAGTGAAGGAGACGGTTTGTGTAGTTCTCCTTTATGGCTGTGTGTGCAGCTTCAAAATCGAAGGAATGAAAGCAAGCAAATCTAAAAACCGTAGCCTCAGACAGCGTTATGCGGTAATGCTTGCAGAATTCCTTCAACCTGAACATACACTCTACTTCAGACCAGTCCTTGGACTGCTCATCATTGGATGAGTTTGCCATGCCTTTCCAATAGAAGGATTTTGGTCCACCAGATTATTGCTGCGGTCATAATAAATATTTCAAAGAATTGAAATATAAAAATATATACGTGGCAAATTGGAAAATACCATACAATGAGAATTTTGGGAGATTTGATAGTCCTTATCTTCGTTTTGAGGATTTACCCGCAATATATATATATGCCAAATGGACGCTCGTTTAGAATCTTCTGTTTGTCGACAATCTTCCAGTATTCTTGATGTTGAATAATCTGGTCGAAGCTTCCAACAAAGTGCACTGCATCGTATCAAAGCCTAAAACATTCCTGGTCGTAATAACAAGACCGCGAGCTTTTACCAGTCAAGAAGGAACAAACGAACATTCATTCCGCGATCCCAATAGTGGTGTACCTTTTAACAGGGCCATCAGGACGTGGTGATGACAAGAGGCCTATTTAGACTTCTTAGCATGGGGATAATGTACCTTTCCGTAGTATTACATTACCTTGTACATCCTATCTATCCATAAATCCTCCGAGGTAGGGTCATTGGCTGCTGCTGCCCCCTGCCTGCTCCATCGAAAAAGTAGGCATCATCACTGGTTACTGAAGAAGTCTCACTGGTGATGCCTATACCAAGATTTGATCCATTCCTATGCCGTTGAAACAACATGGCAAGACGATCAATTTGAGAGAGTCCGCCAGGCGTTCGATGATTCATTTGCGGAAACATGGATACTACCTCTCGTGTCAGATCAAGAGTTGATTCGTCGTTCAATGGTGGGAACATGGACACTCCTGCGGCCGTTCCAGGAAGATGCTTCGCCTCCTTTGCGAAATCAGAAGATACCATTCTGGTTAGCGGTGCTTTGAAAGTTTTCAAGCGACTCCAGTATTGGTTTGGCATCTCACGAGGAGAATGAAAAGGCATAGTGTCCATGGAGGACTGCTGACTGCCGCCTAGTCTTCCATTTGACGCGAGGGCCATTGGGATGACGCCAGGAGAGAAGGTTGCAAGAGACAGAGTCGTAGGCACTGCTGGTGATGTCGTAACAGACGTAGGTGAGTGATCGCGAGAATCAAGGGCAGCAGCACCTGCTATCGATCTTTCGGCTTCTTCCTTCTTGGTGATCGTAGTAGAAGCTTTAGTAGAAGTAGCTGGCACCTCCAGTCGTTGACGAAGTGCATGCTTCGCTCGCTTTCCACGAATCCGTCTTGATAGGATCAAGGCTTTGCCTTCACGTTGGCTCTTGGTTGGGTTGGTGTGGTTGATCTGGCCACACAGGTGGCGCTTGTCCTTCAAGAAGCAAGGGTGAGCGAAGATACCATTGCCAAGATTATCATAACCGTAGTAGAGTAGCTGACGCTTGAATGAGTTTATCTGCGTTTGACGTGGGAAGTACTTTTGTAGAAGTATCTCTTCAAAGAGCAGAGGTTCGTGGATCTTGAACGCGTTACCAGATTGCGTCCATGAGATAATGGACGAGAGACGATCGTTGGATTGCATCTCGGTCAAGAGCTCGTGTAGTTTGTAAGGGAATAGAGGCATGAATGGCACTAGTGAGTTAGTTTCAGTGTGTGTGTTTCGTTTTGCTTGTTTGGAAAATTATGAGTGTTAGGGAAAGCAGGACGTTAGGAATGCCGATTGCTGAATTCTCGTAGACCACGGTACTTCGTGTAGCCTCGGAGACCAACTATTTTCTCTTGGGAGCTCTTGTGAAACCGCCTCCAGTGACACAAATAACTACACAATTTAAAAAGGGGCTTCTTCACAACCAGCCAAGGTCTTATATGTACCACGAGTGGCCGTAAATTCGTTCCAGATTCTTTGAAGACAACTCTGCCGAGTTTTTCTAGTGTGCGATTATTTTACTTATTAACGAGTATTTATATGCTGGAATCGCATTATATCCGAACACTTTTAGAACGAGACATGCGAACTTTCACTGCTGGTATGCCGGAATCCGACCAAGTTTACAAAAGTCGCGCTTTGCACTGCAAGAAATCAGAAGCCAACCGCACAGCTTTTTTCGAAACTTCACGGGGTCGAATCAACCCAAGTGCGTGTTGTTCCTAATGTCGACGCTAATTGTAATCAGTTCTGCCGATGGGTCATTCGAAACTGAGAACAGAAGATAAGAAGCGAAGTTGGTCTCCGAATAAGTTTCAGAATTTGAAGTTCTGACCATGAGAGTGCCGGATCAACGTTGCGAATGTTCACTTGAAGATACACGGGGAGCGTCTCAGAAAAGCCCACGCTACCGGTAAAAGGTACCAGTCAGTACCGTAACTACGACTTCCAGTGTTTTCAAGTTCTCGCCGTTAGTAGCGGTTCAACTTGACGATAAACGAGGAGCGTCGCCCTAAGAAGGATATACGACGTAGCGTACCATGTTCTACGACAATGGTGAAGCCGACGTTTTTGACAATGGCATTGTTATTTCTGGAATCTCCGAAACCGCTCATAATATTCCCGACCCAACAAAACGACGCACAAACACTCTGGAACAAACTCACTAATGCCAGCATGCCTCTATTCCCTTATAAACTACACGAGCTCTTGACTGAGATGCAATCCAACGATCATCTCTCGTCCATTATCTCATGGATGCAATCCGGTAACGCATTCAAGATCCACGAACCTCTGCTCTTTGAAGAGATACTTCTACAAAAGTACTTCCCACGTCAAACGCAGATAAACTCATTCAAGCGTCAGCTACTCTACTACGGTTTTGATAATCTTGGCAATGGTATCTTCGCTCACCCTTGCTTCTTGAAGGACAAGCGCCACCTATGTGGTCAGATCAACCACACCAACCCGACGAAGAGTCAACGTGAAGGAATGGCCCTGATCCCATCGAGACGGATTCGTGGAAAGCGAGCGAAGCATGCACTTACCCAACGACTGAAAGTACCTGTTCCTTTAATCAGTACATTGACCGCTGGGTCGAACGATGGAGATGGTGGTCGTCAATCCTCGATACACCCCACAGCGATTCATTCTGGAGTGATTCCGAATCAGTACTGGACTTTCTTGGATACTTCTTTTTCGCCGAAAATCGCATCCTTAAGGATGCTATCTTTTGATCTTCCAACCGAGGATCAGAACCTTCCTGCGCCTACAGAGCCTATGGTTGCTCCAATAAACCGGATGTCTGGACTCTCTCAAATGGATAGTCGCGCCTTTTTCGGTGATGCAATCTTCCAACTGCGGGAGCAGCCAATCTCCCTGTCTCAAGGGATTCATGAATAGTTGGTATTGGTAATCCATGATTAGGTATTACATTTGCAGAATATCATCATTGTATACTATCCTCGATGTAGCCTGCTTCTGGCGCATCACCATTTATAGTGGCATGGTTCTACAAGTGCCAAAATCTAGTCGCACGTAGGACTGAAAGGACCGACTTTATTGTAGTTACATCGACGAGCGCACTACTAAGGAAGCTTGTCCGTCATGATACATTGGACGTTATTAGCATGACCTCTTTCACACTTTTTCGAATTGGAAAACTCATCATCACACGGAAAAGTGATCCCACGAAGCAAACCGTTACGAAGTTGCAGAAGTGAAAGGTTCCTCCTAGTCCACAGGTTGGGTGGTGAAAGTGGATCTGACATTGATCCCATTTCCTGAATTGGAAGAAGTGATCCCGTGAAAATTGTTTGATCTACCCTGCTCTGCACATCTAGCCTACAAGAAGTACCATGCTTTGCGAAGTTTCGGCAGTCCGCGGTATGTATATTTCCAATGACAGTGGTTTGCCATTGATACCTGGTCCCATTTTAAAAAAAAGGGCACACACACACTGACACCTATAACACGAAAACGCTGCCATGCCTCTATTCCCTTACAAACTAAACGAGCTGTTGACCGAGATGCAATCCAACGCTCGTCTCTCGCCCATAATCTCATGGACGCACTCTGGTAACGCGTTCAAAATCCACGAACCTCTGCTCTTTGAAGAGATACTTCTACAAAAGTACTTCCCACGTCAAACGCAGATAAACTCATTCAAGCGTCAGCTACTCTACTACGGTTTTGATAATCTTGGCAATGGTATCTTCGCCCACCCCTGCTTCTTGAAGGACAAGCGCCACCTATGTGGTCAGATCAACCACACCAACCCGACCAAGAGTCAACGTGAAGGAAAGGCCTTGATCCCATCGAGACGGATCTGTGGAAAGAGAGCGAAGCATGCACTTACCCAACGACTGAAAGTATCTCGGGCCTTTACTAAAGCTAAAAATACCTCCACCAAGAAGAAACAAACCCCACAAATGATTGCATGTGATGTCTCCTCGTTCAAAACATCCACAGCGGCTCCACCTCAGTCTCTCTTAGCTGTTCCTTTAATTAGTCCATTGGTCCATTCTCGCGAGATTCAGAACCAGTACTGGAGTCGCTGGATGGAGACTCCTTGTGTGCCACTAATTGCCCCCTTCAAGATGCTTTTGCTGGATCTGCCAAAAGAGGATCAGAACCTTCCTCTGCTGTCTACAGGAGGATCGATGCTTCCGCCAATGAATCGGCTATCCGGTGGACTCTCTCAAATGGATCGTCTCGCTGTATCGCTTCCACAAAAGAAACTGGACTCTCTGGTGGAAGAACAGAGCCAGTGTTAGCGCTGCGCTTACCAATGCTGCCACTGCTGCATTTCCTGATTCTGATGATGCAATTATCTTCCAACAGCAGCAGCAGCAGCCAGTCGGCTGTTTGCTTGATTCTGGTGGGTGCTGGAACAACAAGCGGAAGTATGATAATTGCATGATGGAAATTGCCATATTCGATCATTGCTGGAGTAGTAGTCAGAGTCTTGGATCTATAGTACCACTACGATGGCATGTCTGATCGACGTCTTGGGATGCCTCTCGCCTATTAGAACACCAAACAGCAACGAGGAAAGCCAAATGAAGCCAAGTAGCACCCGTCCCTGTATCCGTTCACAGAAGAATTATAGGTAATAGGTATACAGGCAGCCCAAGATTACCTTCTTTTTGTATACTATCTGTAAGGGTCGAATGGATTGTCCTGCTTCGGTTCTTCGTCTCGCCTTTATCTCTCGATCTTGTACTGTATGTCGATGCGATGATGATTCGTTGCAATTCCAGATCATACGCATGATTGACTCATTCGATGTGTGTGACTTTCTTGTTTGCCTCTAACCGGTGTTATAAAATATACGACTTTCAAACCAAACCATCATGCGGTCTTATTTTCATCGTCCAACGTTTCTCACGCTTCGTTATTATCAACCCCAACGCCCCTATCTGAGAATTTTAGCAGATCATATCCCTTTAAACACTTCATAAAAACACCTGCAACCAATTCACAATGAGAGAGCGCCAATAACAAGCAGCACCAGCCATTTCATTCTTCCCAGTCACTGTACAAGCACCACTGTACAAGCACCGCAGTACCCATACACGGTTCGACTCCGATCGAAATTGCTAAACGCTCATATACGTATCAAGTTTGGGCGTGATTGTTTGGGAACGTGGCAAAGGAAATGAGAGTAGTCTAGGCTCTTTTCTTGATTTCTTCCCTTATATTGGACGACAAGGTGACCACTTATTCTTCTTGGTCTTATTGGTGGAATGTTTCGGAATTCTAGGCCACACATCGCACAGCCAAAGTGCCTATACCTCTAACCTATAGCCCTAGGTCAAAGAGCATATAGGCTAAGACAACAAAATTTGTAATTACAACAGGGTTGATCGATTGTATGGTACAGTCTCTGTATTGTCTTCCGACGAAGCATATATACCTATATCCTATATATACTTTCGCGGATTTTAAATTATTATGTCGGCACGATGGTTTTATTGATTCAGTCGACTCCAGCCTGTAGAGGTCCGTTTTGGCGGCACACCGACAGACCACGAAATTCGCAGTCGCTGACCAAGGATTTTCTTTATCCGTCCTTCCACGTTGGTTGGTTTGAACTGGTGAGGCCTCAAGTAGACACATTTCTTTTGCGATAGAAAACTGTCCCCGATTGCTCCCTATTACTCATAAATCACATTCAGAATGACTACTAACGGAAACGGAAACGGCTCTGCCACTGTGGGAACTGTGAAGGTCAAGCAAGGACTGGCACAGATGCTCAAGGGAGGAGTTATTGTAAGTTTTGTGCTACGATTCAAATCTTCTGTCGTATCAAATGTCCCGGTATGCCTCATGCTTCAATTCCTTCACTTCCTCTCTTTCTTTAGATGGACGTCATGAACGTCGAACAGGCAAAGATCGCTGAGGCTGCCGGTGCCGTCGCTGTCATGGCTTTGGAACGCATCCCTGCGGATATCAGAAGAGACGGAGGCGTTGCCCGCATGTCTGACCCTGCCTTGATCAAGGAAATCAAGAACGCTGTCACCATTCCAGTCATGGCCAAGGCCAGAATCGGACACTTTGTGGAAGCCCAAATTTTGGAGGCCTGCGAAGTTGATTACATTGATGAATCTGAGGTTCTCACCATGGCCGATGATGTCCACCATTTGGACAAAACTGTGTACAACGTCCCATTCGTGTGTGGATGCCGTAACCTCGGAGAGGCACTTCGTCGTATTGCTGAGGGTGCTTCCATGTTGCGAACAAAGGGTGAAGCCGGAACCGGAAACGTTGTGGAGGCCGTCCGTCACGCACGTCAAGTCCAAGGTGACATTCGTCGTCTGAGTTCCATGAGCAAGGACGAGCTCTACGTTGCCGCCAAGGAAATGCGAGCACCTTACGAGCTTGTCAAGCAAGTTGCTGAGGACGGAAAGCTTCCAGTTGTCAACTTTGCTGCCGGTGGTGTTGCCACCCCTGCAGATGCCGCTCTCATGATGCAACTCGGTGTCGACGGTGTATTCGTCGGATCTGGAATCTTCAAGTCTCACAACCCTGAGGCCAGAGCCCGCGCCATCGTCCAAGCTACAACTCACTACAAGGATCCTAAGGTTTTGATGGAAGTTTCCACTGGCTTGGGACCAGCTATGGTTGGTATCTCAGACATCAATGCCGACCCTGTCAACTTTCGTGATCGTGAGGGTGGCGAATTCACTTACAAAGGAAAGGTCCCACCGAAGAAAGATCTACACGGATACACTGAGACTCAAATGTACGGTTCATCTTGGAACAATTAAAAAAACTAGGCCTCGCGTTGCATGCAGCAGTAATCACGTCTACTGCTGTTTGTTCTATCTATCTGCTGTCTATTCCGACGACGAATCTTCTTCGTTTCAAAGGACGAGAAATGCTAAATATGTTGACTACTGATAATCTAAAATGGAATTACATGTCAAAGGATGCATTTGCAGTACTGATAAGCTGCTTCATCGCTTGAACCATCCTTTCCAACGAGAACCAACTGGTTGTACTTTCGTAGTTACCTAGTGGAGTGAATTTTCTTTTTCGAAACGTGCGTTGATGGACTTTGATATTGCAGTTTCAAGTTTCCCCCTCTCTGTGTCAGAATTATTATTTTTGATGGCTTTCGCATCAAATCGATCGACGGTTCTCATCGACCGTCCATATGGCGTCCGATCAGACACCGACAAGATACTTTTATTTTTTCATCAAACAACCATTCTAGTAGTATACCATGGAATGCAACAGCTTGATACACTGATGATCGTTGTAGTATGATTCAATTTAAAAAATTCATCAGACGCAGTCATCAGAATTCACCAGTATGGAAATGCAACAGCTTAATACATTGATGATTGTTGTAGTATGTTTTAATTTTAAAATGGTATTCTGATTCTTCAATCACCAAATATTGCTGCTTCGCAACTATATTTTAAAATAAAACTATATTGTGGTAGTACTAGCTTCTTTTACCATCAATCCTGATTTTCGAGGAGGAAAGAACAGCCACCTGCTAGCTGAGCTGAAGGCCATGGTTGTGTGTCGGAAATCATGGGACCAACACTATTTTTGTTTCGAAGGCCACCGTTTGAACTCGTTGGATTGTGGTTTCTCAACGGTGAAGCGATCATTTGGCCTCGTCGAAAATCCCAAAGAAACATCCTACGACTATTGTTCCTGTTCCGGTTGTTGCTGCTCCGCCTGCTGCTCCTGTTCCCGTTGTTCCTTTTCTATTCTAATTTTTCGATCCACATAATTGTCAATAAGATCGGTAGTATTCTTCCAACCCTCGGCCATTTCGTCTGGTAAAAATTTCTCATAGCTGGGCATCAGATATCTGAAAAGATCATCTTGTTTGGCAAAATGGATCTTCTTTTCTTCTACCGGTGAGAGTAGTGGGCTTATAGAATTCTGCCATACTTTGCTGCTCATCGTGGTCGTATCTACAAAAATGACCATTTCAATCTTGGTCGGGACAAGATGGCTTTGGATCAACTGGACCAGGCGTATCGAGTTTTCCACATCTACATTTTTCCTCGAATATCCTTTCAAATTGATCAGTAAGGATACACCATGCCGGCATTGTTGCGCAGATCGACTAAGGTCGTTCAATAAGAAACAGAGTTGTTTCAACAAGTCATCAAACGCCTCGGGGGATTTTACATATCTAGCAGGTCGGGCATATATCACCTGACTCTTCTGTTTCTTGGTTCTCATCTTTGGTAATGGGATGAGCATTCCCGTCTGGAACTGTTTCACCATGGCATCATCCATTTTGTCAAAGCTCAAGTAAGGATTAGTGTAATCCTTATTCTTGAGTGCCTTTCGTATTTCTTCGTAATCAAAATCATAAAAGCATGCAAACCTGAATATCAGCGAATCCGATGCTGGAATCTGAAAGAGCTTGCAGTATTCCCTCAGTCTCGAAAGACATTCTACTTCGGATTGTTGATCTCCAGAATATTGCGACCAATCGTCACCAGAAGCAACATCCAAAGATGATGACAATAACGGAGATGATAAGACCAGAGGTGACGACTTTCTTGCTCTTGCTGTTGTTGTTCCTGCTACAGGCGAGGAGATCACTGCCGCATGATGCCGCTGTGCTGCTCTACCAGTACTATTTCGTGAATGCAGCCCTCTTGACCTTCCTGGTGATTTTGATGAGGCCTTTCTTGGGTTGTTTGTGATTCTCTCTGATCGAAGTGTGGTCATCATTGCCAAAGGTTTCTTTTGCTATCTGTTTTTATGTTTGATGTGGTTGTTTTGTGTGAAAGACGTCTTTCAATGCCGTTTTATAAACGGCAGCGAGTAGGAAGATATGTTTCGTGTAGTTACAGTATAGCTGCAGCAGTTCCCGCTGTGTGCTGAGTGTATACTGTGCCGCAATATGCGAGGATAACTGTGCTGCAGTATGTACGATACTTGTAATCTTTCCGTCGTGGAAGCTTCCACGGGGGAGACCGCGACTGTACTATGTACTATGTAACTGCATGCCGGCATCAAATTCCCAATGCAGATAGAAGCCCAGACTCGCCAATGTGGATGGCCGGTGGGTCGAATGAGTCACTGTCATTTCGCTCGTGGAGCGAGCGTGGAGGGCGGGCTGGGTACCAGGTACCTGGTGGTACGGGCCAGGACCAGGCAGACGCGAACAACTACTGGTATAACGGCATCTGCCTGCTTCTGCTCGGATGGATCTGACATATTTTCAATATTCTGCTCTACCGGTCGGAACGATCGGATCGGATGGATCCAACACAAACACACGCACACAGACGTCAGCAACTCCCCATTCTGAGTCACACCCACGCACACCGAACCGCGTAATTCTCGTTTGTTCTTGGAAGTGCGACGAAACAAGCAATACAGTACTGTAAGTTGCAGGAGTTATTGTCAGCGTTTTGATCAATTCTCATCATTATCTTACATTTTAATACCTAGTAAGCAAAGATCATCATCAAAATCATGGGTTTGTTAGGAAGAGTACAAGCCGCAGTTACAAGAATGAGCTTTGGCCAAGAAGCCAAGCTTGCTGCAGGAACTGAATACGTCAGCATCAAGGACACTCTCATGAGCGGCGAAGAAGTCAGCATGGGAGATTACTTGGGCGACGTTTGCGTCGTTGTTAATGTTGCCTCAAAGTAAGTTTATGTTTCGTCTTGTTTCATTTCGTCTGTGCAAAGATGAAGGGGCGTTGCAAAAATACCAAACACTCTAATGCATCATTCTGCCATATTTTGTTCTGACTTCTTCTTGCAATCATTGTCATCATCATCATCGTCGTCGTCATCAAACATAATTATCAGATGAGGTTTGACCCCCCAAAATTACACACAACTTATCAAATTGATTGATGAATACGGCGACAAGGGCTTCAAGGTTCTTGCCTTTCCCTGCAATCAATTCTTACAACAGGAACCTGGTGGTGAGGCAGAAATCAAGGCCACCATTGAAAAGTTCGGTGGACTTCGGGACCGTTTGGTATTGTTCTCCAAGGCGGATGTCAATGGGGCTAATGCCAGGCCTGTATTTACCTATCTAAAGGAAGCGCTTCCCTTCAAGGATGGAACCACCAATGTTTTGTGGAACTTTGGAAAATTCTTGGTGGATCATGAGGGAAAACCAATCAAGCGATTTGGATCCAAGACGGAACCCATGTCCATGAAGGCTGATATCGAGGCCTTGCTTGCGAAACGAAATGGTGAAACCACCAGTCACGTATTTGTGCAAGAAGATTAGACTTCTTGATGGCATTATTACAGTGGAGCAATTCTGAATGATTCCTCTCTGGCCAAAGGACGACGCTACAAAATCTTGAATTTTGTTTTATGAATGACAATCCTGCAGTTGGAATGTGAGGACTGTTGTAACTATACTATATGGTTCTGATTCAAACTGCAGGATTTGAAAAATGAGAGGTTGTATGTTTGGAAGACTCTCGAGTTTTTGTGTGTAATTTGGACTCGGGAGATGCATCCATTCATGACAACCTTTTGGAAATGAAACCTCAAGTTTTTGTGGCAAGTGTCTTTTTGCTTCAGACAAATAATATTTCAGGAAGAGGTCGAAAAACTAGTAGTAACCAATTTTATAATGTAACTGAAAATGTATAATGTTTGGCATGAGAAAAGAACAAACTGAAGTTCCACCTTAGTACCAGGTGCTTATTACCTTTCAAAGACAGTAGTTATTCATCATGCCTACACTTTAGATTTGGATCTGAACCTATGTCCCCCCTTGCATCTGTGATGTTGCAGTCGGTGATTCTTCCAATGATTATCTGTCTGGTTGGATACTGTGGCATGCGATTGCTACCGTCCTGTCAACAAGTCACAAGATTGTGTATCCTCGCATAATGAGTTGGATGGAAGATGATTTGGCCTAGTGCAGCCAATTCACGTTCTACTGTATTTGTTTTCATTCAAGTGTCTATTTTTATCATTCTATCATCTTTTGGATTTTGTAGCATCAATGATATGCAACAGCATAATATATATATATATATATATATATATATATATATATGCATATATAGGTACTCCCCACCCTACAATTTTTTCTCTCGAAGAAACTACTACTGCCAATTCAGTAGATGATTCAACGCTTCTTGTTGTTCTTGTTGTTGCAGCCCACCATGCCCATTCCCTCCTCCACCACGCAAATAGTTTTGCAAGGCAAACTGCGATAATGGAGATTGCTGAAAGAAAGAGGAAGCTTGTTGCTGTTGCTGCTGCGATTGTTGCTGCTGCGATTGTTGTTGCTGCATTTGTTGTAAGAGTGCCAATCGCAACTGATGTTCTAGCGAACTAGTTGCAGTTGACATGGATGCTGCTGCTGAGTTGTGGTTATAATTGTTGCTGGCCGCTGCTGTTGCCATGGCCAAAGAAGTAAATGGATTGAATGATGATGATTGCTGCTGCAGTTGACTGTTTACTAATGCCTGCTGCAGATTGGATGATTGCATTGCTGCCGTTGTCGATGATAATGTTGTAGCTTGCTGTTGCTGGTAGCTATTATCGCTGCTAACTGGAGGAGAGGATCGTTCCGAGGTTGTGGAGGATCGTGAGCCAAAGCCATACTCTTTCAGCTTGTTCACAATCTCAGATTTCTTCTGTTCCATCTTGTTCAGCTCCAACTGGAGAAACATGCCCTTTTCAGATAAGGAATATGTTGACAGTCGCCTCACCAACATATCCTGATACTCATCGGAAGTCATATTCTGCTCTGAAGAGTGGTCCGGATCGGAGGTTGCCACTGTGGCAGGAGGCATGACATAAAAGTCCGGCGGTGCCTTTGGTATGGCTTGCTTCCGTTCGGAAAGCTCGGTCCTTGTAGGACGCTTCATCTTTTTACATAACTCTGTAGCATCACGCAGAAACAATTCATGATAATACGCGTTGAAATCATTCCCTTTGGTGATACGATTGAAGCCCCACCCAGTAACCTGTCGATAGAAGGAAGCCGCTTTCTGATGCTGAAAGAACTTTGGTAAAATCTCTGACTCCAGCCGTTCTTGTTGTTGAACCCGCCAAGCTCGACCGTGAGGGAGCCAACAAATTATGTCGTTGAATTCTGGGGTACTCAATATTATGTGAAGTTTGCCTGGAAAGTTCAGCTTTGCTGTATTCGAGGATGGCTCCGGAGGTTTAGTGACTTTGTCTTTGCTGCCTGCTGTGCCTTGGGTGCTACTTGAATCATCGCTCACTGTTGGCTTGTCTGCGTCCTGTGCAAGCCGGTTCATAGTTACTTGTGTTGTGGTGAATGGTATGCAATGAATAGTACCAGTTCTGTTTGTGTCGTGGTCTTGGCAAGGTAGTAGGAGAGTATGTGGTGGAAAGGTGCATTATTTTGCAAAAAGTGTTCCCACGAAATTGATTAGTAAGAATAAAAAGGTTCGGTATTGTGTCAGTGTAGGTCCTGCAGCGGCGGCATTGTATCACTGAAAAAAGATCATCACGAGCTGGAAATAGGGACACGATCGTTTGAACACTGCCAGTCCGACGCACCATCGAGGATCTGATTTAGCGAGTGTTAAGCGGAGAAAAAGTCTGGACATCTGGAAACGGCGCAATGTGTTCCCACCAACTGACGTCCACCTATTGCCAGCTCGATGCCAGCTGATCATCATTGAGTGGGACCTTCGTAATGATTCTTTGGACAGTTCAATGTCTGGCGAATAACAGATCATTCTGACGTAGAGCTATTTCGACAGAAAAGTCCGAAATGATTCATTCAATTTCGCACTCCTTTTGATCACTATTGCCTTTTCCCGTTTCTCCAATTCTCTCGTTGGGAAGTCAAAATGTGAAGCTACAACAGACAACAGTCAATGATGAAGATTTCCTCTTCCTGTTGGACTCCGTTTTTTACTTGTATCAATACTTGTTACACCAAGCAAGAGGAGAGGAAAAAGGCAACGGGGGAGGCAGATTGCCACGAGGAGCGCATTAAAAGTAGTAATGGTTCCGTCGAAATGTTACAAGACTGGATCGTATTGTGGAAAAACCGTTTTATGCCTACCGGTACCCAGAAGCGGTTTCTCTTCCGTGTTTCATTTTTAAGGCCGAGAGACACACCAACTACGCACTTATACAATAAAAACGGGACATGTGCGTCGCTCCGAAGAGACATCCGCTTTCGATGTAAAGCTATTTTACACTACCAAAGATTGATTATTGATCGATTGATTGATTCACTCAAAATGATGTGCACATTCTCCCACGAAAGCAACTGTTGGACTGCCATGCGATATTAAGAATATGTTTGCTCAGAAGAGAAACCATCGGCTTTCCATGTTCTACTGAGGGTTCGTGTCTTCAAAAAGGATTAATTTATATAAAAAAGGTTCGATTTTGAAAATGCGTCACTGTTGGTCCTACTACGGCACTGGTAGCCGACGGGCCCACTGGCATCGTATCATTGAAATAAGATCTTTGAGCCGGTACACGATTTCGAAATACCCTCACGACCGTGCCTGGGTCGCAATCATTTAGCGAATGTAAAGTGGAGAAAAAGTCTCACGTAAAGGAAACGGCACAATGTGTTCCCACCAACTGACGTCCGGGCGATGCCAACTGATCGTCATCAGTGGGACCTTCTTTTGGATTCTTTTGACTACTTCGATGTATGGCGAATAACCGATCAATAAATAGTTTACTGACGTGTCACTATATTTCGGCAGAAAGTTCAATTTCGCATCACATTTGATCACTGTTCCCGTTTCACGTTTCTCCCATCGAGGTAGCTGTTATCGTTCTCCACTGGGAATAGAAGTTGCTCGATACAGTACAGTACTGTAGCTACGAGACCTAGATCATGCTGTTCCTTCTCCCCCTACTACTCCACTTCCTCCTTTGACGTAGCACATGACTGGACGTCCAGCTCTGGATGCGATGGATAAAGTATACGCCCCCATTCGATCAAAGCACAGCCAATCCCCCACTTGTAGCTCCGGCAATTGGCATTCGGAACATACCACATCGTTGTTTGGTAACGAGGACGATGTTGGCCCAAAGATTTTACTTTTGAATCGTGGTCGGACCACAGTGTCATGGTCGCTAGTGGTGGTGGCATTGTCGCAGGGGCTGTCATTCATCATCAATGGCAACGGAGTAAAATTTTCGTTGCAAAGCAAGACGTCTTTGAACACTCCTTGCACGCCATGTGCAATCTTGTAGACACGAATTGCTGTTGTTTCTTCTTGTAGCGTTGTGCTTAGCATTTGCTTGTCGTAAATCCTACTCACAAGTCCTGCCGCAGCCTCCACGAAATAACGTCCAGGTTCGGCAATGATTTGATAACCTTCCGAGGCGAATGCTTGCAAATTTGGTTGTATAGCTTCGGCAATGGCGCTTGTGGTTTCGACTGTCGTTTCCTCGCCAGTAGTATTGCCGTCTACTGTAGCAGCAGTTGTTGAGTTCTCATCATGATTATGATGTGAGTCAGAGGAGTAGGAAAATCGATTCTGATCGCCCCCGAGGCCATCCCATCCAGGAAAGCCACCACCAATGTCAATCAGGGAACAGCGGTGGTGCTCAGTTATTTCAGTATTTGAATCATTTGGTCGTGCTTGCTGCTGCTCAAATGTCGAATGGATGAGGTCCAGCGCTGAACGAGTCATTTGCAATGCAAGTCGATAGGTGGCTGGATCATGACATCCTGATCCACAATGAAAGGATATTCCAATAAAGTTGGTGGGCTGAAACCCCATTTCTAATCCATGCTGCACCAAAAACCCAATCTCCTCCAAGGGTGTACCAAATTTCTCGCCCAGTGGAACGGAAGAGTGATGGTCGGGTACCAGGATCCGAAGGATTAATCCAATTCGCGCTAACGGGAACCCTTGCTGCTGACTGATTTGAAACAGCTTGACCAATTCTTCCGGACCATCCAAGGTAAGCCAGAGGGGAATGGGACAAGGCATGGATAGGTATGCATCCATGCAATTCTTCAAGTCTTGCTCGGCTCGTTGTGGATTGGCATATACCAGTCTTGGCTGCCCCTGAGGCTCCTTAGTTGTGACGTCAATGCTAGTGTCATTCCCACAAGCTTCCAACGCCAATTGAATCTCACCCCAGCTGGCGACATCAAATCCGACTGATAACTGACTATTGTTCGCTAACCACTTAACCACCATTGGGTCCGGATTGCACTTCATGGCAAAGTATGGTTTGACTTGAGGGAAGAGTTGATTCCATTTCTGTAACTTGGTCTGTACTGTCTGAAGGTCAATGCACATGAAACCGTCGTCCAAGGCATCTTCGAGTTCCTCTCGTGACAGATGGGAGGTCGTGGTGGAGCAGACCGCCTCGTTATGTTTCGTCTGATTCTGAAAAGATGATTATTCGTTAGCGTGTGTTTCTTCAGAACAAATGAATACAATTTATTTAGTCAGTCTATCCACATTATTATGTTGGATGGTACTTACGCTGGTGTCAGCATTCTTCCCGACATTAGCATTATGATCCCGATCAAGGGACGAAGCAACTTTGCTTTCAAGTTGCTCAATCTGATATCTGGCACAGTCAATCAGTCCATGAACCTCAGAAGGGAGGATTGTAACGTGTTTGTTCATAATTCTCTTATTCTATTATTATCAATGTGGAGTTGCTTTCGTGGACCAGGACTCATTTGATCTCTTCTGATATCAACATCGGTATTCTATATTACTTGTGTGTCATTGATGAATGGCCACGGCAACAGTGTGATGATATGTTGTCTACGCTAGCGAATCTGCATGCGCTTTCTCTTGTCAATCGGGGGATATATGCTGGATCAGCAATACTGTAGCGATGCCACTTACCATTTTAAGATACGCCCCTACATGGTCCCCCTCCCCAAACCTAATGACGTACCTGACAGTTTTCCAAAAACAGAGACACATCAATAATAAACGATGAGCTGTTCTTGAAACAAAAACCGTCTGCTATAATATTTCCCATTATTCATTTCAATCAGACTACATCGGCATTCAGAGCTTCAGAGATGAAGATACCATCCAATGCATTGGTTCTCGCCATTGGCGCAGCTTCATTGCTGAGTTCTGCCACTCAAGCCGCTGCATTCTTATCAGGAGGGCCAGCAAGTCATCATCCCAGGAATGTTATTATTGCTGGAACAACAACGACTTCACCACCACTTTCCAGCGAAAGATCAACCGAGACAAGAATGATTCCTTTTATGGTAGACATGATGGAGACACAAACTGCTCCGCCAATCGAGGAAACATCCATCCTGCACCAAACAACAACAAGATCGCCCAAATCAGCGTTATTGTTCGATGCTGCTTATTCTTCAAATCAGCGTCCTCAAATGTTGCTGCAAGCCACCAAAGATTGGCTCTCATCACCATCGTCATCATTTTCCTTGATACCCGAACCAGCTTTTGCCGCAGACGAAATGCCGCAACCACCCAGCAACGCCGAAGTCCAACTCTTGCGCAAAGCCTTTAGCACCTTTTATGGAGTCCCCCGTGATGCGGAAGGGGCCGAACCTCTCTTGACGGAGGTCATTCAAGCATGGGATCGTCAATCGGCAGACGAAAAGGCGGGTTTGTATCGTGTCCGAGGAGATTGTTACGCGGCTCTATTGAAAGCCGACAAGGCCATTGCCGATTATTCCACAGCCATCGAGTTACTGATAAGTCCAGCGGGGGCAAAGGCGGACCCTGCCGAACTACCAGCGTCACTGTAAGTCTCGTCTTTTTTGTCTTTTTTTCGTTTGACAAAATGGCCATCATGATATTGTGTCTTACATTCTTACTTCGTCTGTGTTCCTTATTGTGGCTGGTATTCCGAACAATCACCGTCCTTTTTCAGTCTTGGCCGGGCACGAGCCATCAGAAGTCTTTCCACCAAAGCCACCAAGGAGCAAGCAATGCAAGGAGCCAAGGACTATGAAGAAGCTCTCATCCTTTCGTCGAGAGAGGAATGGGACACCAAACAGGAATTGTTGGAAGACGGTGCTCGTACCAACCCATATGCCGCTTGGGAATACGGCATGGCTCTTCGATTGGCAGGCGATACCCAGAAAGCTAAGGATGTTCACCTTTTAGCATCCCAATATTTCGAAGATATTGCAGATCCGGCAAGGTCAGTCATTTCGCTCATGGATGCTGGCATTGACAATGCCGACTACGATCCGGAAGCTGGGGCAAAATTGATCCGATCGTCATTCAAAAAGATCAAGTTGGTAGAGGGCCGGGACATTCCCCTTCTTCAACGAGTCATTGCCAAGGAAGGAGAAAGCAGAGTCGCCTTGGCAAGTTTGTATTGGACTGGTGCAGGTGACAAGCAAGACGCCGAGTCACAACTGGGTCTGGCATGTGAGCGACTGGATCAATTAGAAGCAGATGCGATTGCCCGACAAAAGGTCAATCCTCCAGTTGTATCACCTCCAAGGCTGAAATTTAATATTGATGATATTCCAGGAGCCTTGGACATTAGCTGCAGTCGTTTGCGAAACAAGGAATACTTGAATGAAAGACTCGAGTGGCCAGCATCATTGCAACAGCGCGTAGACAAATTGTACACTCTCAAGAGCAAATAATAGAACAGTTCTAGCATATACCGGTCGTCCTAAAGCTTACTCAATCCTATACTTATTGGACTATTGAAATCTGGGCTGATAAGAATGGCCATGGGGTACCTGTACCTACCAGTATACTGGTAGACATATTCTTGCTCTGTCTGATCGATTGGGTTATGTGTTCTGGTCACATGAGTCGAATAATATCGCGCGTGCCGAGTTCACGATGGATTTTGAATATCGGTGCAAACTGAAAAATTCAAAATACTGCTCTCATCATCGCAGCTCGCCGCAACGACGCACCATCATCGTAGCATCGCATCCCGACCAACGACGATAATAAAAGCACTAGGACGACGGCATATGCTACTCACAAATGCTCATTGAAAGTCATGGACGAATCGTTATATCTACCCAATGAAGAGCACGAGGAACAGAAACCAATTTCGCGACGACAAAGACTTCATCAGGAGGAGCAGAATGACGACAATAAGAAGAGAAGAACATTACCAAGAGGAAATACTTCTGCTTTACTCCAGATGACAGTGTTTTCGGTTGGTTGTATGGTGATCACACAGAAAACACTATTTTGGTCAGCCAGTCAATCATCCCGTGGCTTATCATCATCGCTCGAAGAACAAGCGTTCACTCTACCAAAAATGCAAAGTGATTCATCACAGGAGCACGCTACAGAATCCCCTCTCGAAATATCTCAGAAATCAAAACACATGAAGCTTGTGAATCATCTTAAAAAGATACACACGCAATCAATCGAATCAAATATACAAGAATCCGCCGAACGGCATGATGTTCCGAATCTGATTGTTGAAAACAAGAAAAAGAAGACCGATCATTATCCTACTCCTCCAACGACAACAACAATAGTTGACGAACGAGATTCCGATTGTATTTTTCGCAATTCTCCACTTTATCGCTCGGTTTATGTATACCCAAGTCCATTGGATAAAGAATGGGAAGGTGAAATCCTATCGGAATATGCTAGTAGAACTGCTGATGGCCGAAATGTTTCGTGGCCTTGGCTGGAAATGGACCAACGATTAAAGGAGGAGGGCAAGGCTCAGTACGATGCCAACAATAAGGATTTCAATCAATACACTACCGAGTTGCTAGTCCGTGACATTATTACGCATCCAAACTCTTGTCTTCGAACCGACGACCCAGAATCAGCATCCTTATTTTACATCCCATACCTTCCGACAATGGAATACCACAACGGATCCCTATTTGGAGATTACAAAACTTCTCCGTTTAGTCAGGCCATGTTGGATGCGACATCTCTATATGTAAATGACAGTGACAGCCACTACAACAAGTATGATCTATGGGAGAAAACCTTTGGATTGACATCGAAATACTGGAAAAGACGGAATGGAGCGGACCATATTGTCGTCATGAGCGAGCCGTTGCATGGATTCAGTCATCCAAGAAACCGACGTGGTAACTATCATTATCTACACAGTCAGAAACAACTGAGCCCACCGATCGTCATATCCATTGAATTGAGTACCACCTTTGTGGAAATGGTAAGAATCAAAAGATTGTTATCGTGTATTTCCTGAACTGCCTTGTTCTCATTCATTGTTCTGACCACTCCTTGCTTCCCCGTTTTTCCTTTCCATTATCCACCTATTTGGCAACGTTCACGTATTCAGTATCCAAATTGCGCCCGCAAGAATATCCTGATGCCATATCCGAATATTGATGGAAAATGGTTCAATGGGGCATACAATCAACAGACAAAAGAACTGTGGGGAAACCTACAAGTACCCAACATTTCAGAGTCTCTAGCCGCACTCAAAGCTGAACGAGCAATGGCCAATTCATCCAAAGCTACCACCAACACCAACACCACCCATATCGATGAATTGTTGAGTCAACCCAGACCATTGGCACAATTTTACGGAGCTGGAAACCACGGTTCTTGTAGGCAATTGCGACAAAGGCTAGGGATGAATTACCGTTGTACAGAGTCTGGAAAGCTGGCGAATCGATTCTCTCGACAAATCAAGTATCAGCATGGGTACCGCCAGTCTACTTTCTGTCCATGTCCAGGTGGAGACTCTCCCAGTGCGAAGCGTCACTTCGATGCCTTGCACGCTGGGTGCATCCCAGTAATTCTATCTCATGACTTTGTCTGGCCCTTTACCAGCGAGTTTGACAAAAATGCATGGAGCATTTTGGATGACGATTCGGAAGATGGAATGATGAGAAAAAGGAGGCGGAATATGTATAGAGACGGCAGAAGGGCTTCCAGCATGGCTGCCTCCACGTCGCCTCTAAGCGCCTCTGATTTCGCGCTTCGGTTGAATGCATCCGAGTTTGAGGGACCAAAGTACGGCTACCAGTGCCAGGTATGGAATAATACATCCAACAGTTCAAAAATATCAAAGGATCTTCAATCCTACTTGGAGACAATATCCAGTTCTGAAATTGAAAGACTTCGAGCCGGAGCCTTGCAGGCTTCTGAATTGTACTCGTACTACAGACGACGACCAGATCTTCCCGAGAATCCTCTTCGAGAGGGAATCCTGCCCGATGGAGGTGCAGCTCATCAACTGATTCGAATGCTCAGTAGACGGGCCAATGGCAACTTGTGGCCTGCCTGTCAGAAGGAGCAGCAAGCCGAGTCGTCGTCATCTCCATCCATAGATAAAATCTCCACCTTTCAATGCTGAAAAACATTGGTACAACTTTGCTCTCGAACCATCCTGTCAGAACAGAAGATGGTTTGCGAAGAAGAAAAACACAGAATAATATCTTCAGGAAAGATTTTTGATACTGTAGAATGCTTCTTTGTTGCCTCTCCCACGTATTGGTACGAGGTATGGTATCAGTCGAGCCAAGCATCTTGCATAGCGATAAAGCAGGAAGCATTATTTGGAGCCAAATACAACCGCACTGAACCTGCCGGTGTGATGTTCACGTGTAATAAAACTGCATATTATATTTGTCTAAACGACACGACTTACACAGATTATGGACCCACCGGAACACTTTTCCAGGACGTCGAAATGGCCCTACTATTATATATATATTTTTCGGTGCGACACTGCAGACCTTATATTGTAATTTATCAACCGATGACGTGCGACAAAAGGTGGCGTCGTGTGACACTTTCGTTTCCTTCGTACTTACTTATGTCCCACTTGTGAAGTTTCGCAACCGGTATAATAATATTCCAACCGTACAGTATACCAGCATGATACGCAGTATTATATTCTTCTCATTGTGCTGCTGTCGTCGTCTTCCGTATATATCATATTACCTATTCAAAGAGTTGGAGACTCGCTTTGTATACCTACATCCTTTATTGGGCCATCTGCATCTATAGAAGCTTCTCAGATAACAGCGAAAGGTATCGTGAAGGTTCGGAAGAATTTCAGCGCTTTCAGACAAAATAAAATTCAGGAAGATATTCCGCCAATAATAAATTGCTTGGCGGACAATCAAGATAACAACAGAAGCAGCAGCAACACCAACAGCACTGCCAACATGAATAACAACTCTTCCATGAATCTTCCAATGGCAAGAGCAGAGCCAGCACCGCCCACTGCTGAAGAATATCAGGCACTCTTACATGAAGTTACTGATTTGAGAGATAAAATGGAATCGAGAGAAACCTCCTTTCGACAAGACATTGCAAGGGAACGACGACGACGAGAGCAGATGGTAAATACGCTACGGCGAGACTTCAACTTGATTTCACAGAGTGGGAATAACAGCCCTGCGGGAGGATCAGCAAGTACTCAAATGTATCATCAAAACCACAACATAATCGATGAACACGCAAACTTCAAAGCCGATGAAGAATCAACGCCGTTAACAAGTCCCAGGGCTGAGAGACCGAAATTTAGTGGTATGTCGCTCAATCCACATAGTCTGAATCCAAAGAAGAATTCATTCAAGTTCACGGCTATTGGTGACAAGAACGACAATTCTTTGGATCGAAGCAATCGAAGTGAGTCCAGTTTGGTAGTTACTGGACCTGCGGGGGATATTATTCCAGCAGGCAACGGTAGCGATGGTGATACACCGGATGGCATTGATATTCCACTCTTACCACAGGATACCTTTAGTTACTTGGCATTTTCCAAGCTCACGTCGGTTTCTCTGGCCATTGCAATCTTTGTCATCGGAGTCCAAGTATTAACGCTGACAGTTCTGGCTGTGGATATGTTTGGTGAGGGTACACCCGGAAACGTTCTTGGAATTCCTGCAGGAATCAACGAGTCGACGGCTACCATTCAAGTTGTAGCCATTTTTATCATCACTGTGGCTCAGACAGATTTGCACGATTCACTGAATACTCTTTTTGTGGGTTACCAAGGAGACGAACTGTCAGATGCCATTGGAAGACCAACTCAGAAATGGCGCTGGACAGTCTCATTATGGGTCCGTATTTCAATTACTTTGTATGCGCTCATGGTCACATTCATAATGATTTGCACCGAATCGGATACTACTCAGGTGTTGCTGGACTTTACGTCAATTGAATTCGTAACCAACCTTGACAATGTAAGTTTTTGCACTTCAAACCTGCAAATCACCATTTTTCTGCACAGGAATGTTCATTCTTGGCGATGCGTTTGGTGCATGGTGCATGTACGATTGTTGCTTCCGTCCGTTCCGCCCGTTAAACTAACCATGTTGCTCTTTGGCCATGCTGTTGGTGCTTCAGATTTTCTTCTGGTTGACGGCCTATGGGTATCTAGGGTTTGGGGCACAGGAGGATGCAAACCTTGTGCTGAATGCCAAACCATTTTCTATTGTGCTCTCAGAACGCGATGATGGAAGTACAAAGGAGAGACGCTTCAGCGTTCGATCATCAGCCACCGGGCAAAAGCGACAACGCAGATTTCCTCGATTGCTGTTCACTACGAGCCTTTTCGTTATCATGTTGATTGGATGGGGTATCATCTTCTCGTGGATCCGCGATGGAGAGTTTTTATGCCAGACTGTGTTTGTACAGTTTGCCGATCTCGCCAACCCAGACTTGGCGCCTTTCACGGGACTTTACGATATTGGATGTTCTGACCAAGTCTCGGGTTGTCGTCGAGCTAAATACGGCGAATCCGCACATGGAGACAATCATAACTTCTCGGACACGGCCAAATTTGCATTCTGGTGAGTTGTTGCAACCGTGGAAAGAAAGGAATCAATTTCTACTATGCACTGAATGCACAATTCTCATCATGTTTGTTGCATCTTTGTAAAATGACGAATAGCATCCAGAAGAATAGTTGGGGATTTGTATTCGGAAATGAAACGGAAGATGTTTTGGCTGGTAAGACAAGTCCCTGCAACTGGATTGCGCATTCAAAAAAAGTCAGTTCCAAAACACAAGATTCATACGACATTATGAGTACGGCCTCTGATCCGTGGAAAGTGCTCAATAGACGTGGAATTGACGTCCCCTTTAAAGGATACGAGTTGCGCTGTTTCGATTGCCGTCACGACCCTTTGTTTTGCGGGTCTGCGGCTGGGCGGGGGGATTGTGTTGTAAGTTTTGTTGATGATTCACTTAACGACTACGAGCACTATCTCATCAATTTTCCCCGATAAACTTTAGCGCAATCGATGTGAATGCAGAAAAGGCTGGTATGGAAGGCGGTGTGAATTCAGATCGCCATGCGAGTTGATTGAGTTCAGGGATCCAGAGCGAGATGTCATAGATGGTCGAAGGTTTGCCACGCAATACAACAGAATGTATAATGATCAAGGCGAACCAGTTGAGATATACGATCGACCAGTATACGAAGGAAGCTTCTTAGATGGCGACGATCTTGGGACTACATACCAGGTCTTTTTCAATGGTAGCGTACCTTTTGTTTTGGTTTTACATTGGGATCTGAAGTGTCTAACTTTCACATTTCACGTCTCAGGTTTTCGTTGGGTGCTAACTGCGAATTTAGGTGATCTTCTGAGAAGTCAGAAATTTCATGGATATTGGTCGGCGAAATGGAATCAATACACTGTAATATTCTACAGTGCTCAAGTAATCGTCGACAGTCCAGAAGATGCGACTTCTCCGGAAGGGTTGTTATGGTACCGCCCGCTAGTTAAGCAACGAGGTAAAGCTATTGAAGGAGTTGACTTGAAATCAATCGCACCCTTTAGGTTCCTGTGCGCCTCGTGTGACGACGATACGAACCCTTGTCTTTACAGTGGCATATGCCGGCCGGGAAACAAAACATGCGAATGCCCCAGCGGTTCATCGGGGAGACTTTGTCAAATATTACCCACTGGGAACGGGAGATGCGATCCGTACTTCAATTCTCGAGAATTTTCATATGATGGTGGCGATTGGTAAGTTTTTCTGCTTATTTTGAGTATTCTCATGGCGTTGAAGCCATAATTTCAGTCTAACAATCGACTCTAAGCTGCAAGCAAACGTGCGTTAGCACTGATGAATACGACTGTGGCCGAGATGTTGTCACCAATTCTCAAGGTGTAAAATCGATTGGATTCGTTGGCTTCGACAACTGCATGGATCCATCCATTGCTCGATCTGTTTCGGGATCGCGGACAATTTATGACATTCAAGAGAGAGGTGTGCTCAATTGCGGACTCATTTTCACTTCGACCTGGTTCTACAATTTCATGACAGACCAAGTAAGCTGTTTTCGTGAATCTTGTTTTCGAATCCTCTGGTCTTAGCTTATTTATTTTGTTCTTCTTACCCAGTGTCGAGCAATTGCGGCTGCTGTTCTTGACAACCGTAATGCAATTCAACTCTTTAACTTCACCAATGATCGCTTCACTGGCCTTCGGGACAAACGATTTGACGTCGTGTTTTGGACAGACTATACTGCCAACCGAGACGTTTATGAGGTAAGGTGGAACAGTTTTTCAGCGTTCAGTCCTGAGCATTCTAACACTCTGTTATTATTGTTCCACTTTTAGTCATCGGCAAAGTCTGGTTTCAATTACGCGACGATCCCCTACTATTTTGGGGGTTTCGTTTTCGGTGGGATCAAGCCGTTCGCCAAATGCGCTGATAATGGGGACTTCTTCACGGTGGGATGTCTTGATATGAAGATATGCCTTGTTGACGGTACATCGTGGTATGACACAGCGTCGACAGTTTTTCCTAGTGAAGTAATCGTTACATACAACGATTTTGAAGCTACAGTTGTCGGTTTGGAAAATGGCGAATGTAACATCATTGGTGGATCTCAGGTAGATGTCGAGTTGATCTCCATTCGGGCCTTTGGGTACACGGGTGATGAATCGAACTACGAGGTCGGGTCTAAGTTGTATTTCAAGTCCTTTGAAACTTGGATTACCCGACCGGATGACCGAGTATGGTCGCGATTTACCTCTTGGATATTTGAATCTCTTGTGCAAGCTGAGGAATCCAATGTCACTCAAGCGACGAGCAACTTAATGCGCAGCACCGATGTCTTTGGTGACGAGTTTAGCGGTATCTTTCAGAGAGCAGTTGCAGCCGTTGGAAACTATGGGGAGATGTGGGAGAGGAACCTCCCGTTTACAAGAAGCGGGATGAACTTGGTCAACAATGGAACAGCTCCTTCCATGGTATCATATGACTTTGGCCGTGTGTCTGACGTTGGACCAGAGCCATCTCAGAACAGTGCCATTCGAGCGATCATTGCTCGAGACTCCCTGAGATGCGGAGTCAATGGGGGTTCGTTCGGATTCGCAAATTACAATGAAAACACAAATACTTGGAGTGGGTTGGAGATTGACATGTGCCGGGGAATCGCCGCTGCCCTCTTTGATGGAGATGATAGCAAAATGGACGTCATTCAAGTGACTTCTTTCGATCGCTTCTCCAAAATCGAAAATGGAGATGTCGATATTGTTCCCGGTGTCACGCGCACGTTGGAGAGGGAAGTCAATTTCGGCGTGAACAATTACGCCTTTGACTTCAGTCCAATCTATTTCCATGATGCAATGATATTTGCCGGTGAGATGCCATTTGCAGCGTGTGCGGAGAACCAAGAGTTCTCCAATACCAACGACTTGGGTCTAAACTGTACCGACACGACAATTTGTGTTCCGAGCGGTTCCACTTGGTACAATACTGTCGTCGATAGCCTTGGGATCGACGACGAACGCCTAATATTGACTTCCAACTTTGAAGAGTCCGTGCAATATCATGTGGCTGGGTTGTGCAATGTAATTGTTGGAGAAACGGCCAAGCTGAATACTGTTTCCCTCCGAGCCGCGGGCTACTTGGTTACGGAGAACTATAAGTTTGGAACACAAAAGCTCACCAAGGAACCACTTTGTTTGATGCATCGGTCCGACGACCAACAGTTCTCGGATCTGATCAAGTGGATCGTGTTTGGTTTTTTCTATGCCGAAGAGAATGGATATACCAGCGTTAATTTCTTCGAAATGCCCCAAACCAATCTGTTTGGACCGGAGTTGACCAAAATGTGGCAAAATTCCATTAGAAGAGTTGGAAATTACGCACAGATATACGAGGGCAACATTGGCGGAGCTATTCCACGGTCGGGGATGAATTTGCGAAATGATCTTTCCAGCCCGCAGCTCTTTGCTGCTCCGGGGACTATATAAGCAACCTGAAGACCAAAGCTAGCTAGGAAGTACCGGATCGACTGTACTATCGAAACTGCATTAGCTCTATATATTTGGATCGGGGAAGAAATGAAATTTGATCTCCAAATGGATTTCTCTGAGGATCTAGATTCCAGAAGAATGCAGTAGTGATATGTATGTATGTATATTAGAGTAGGATTATAGGTTCGAATTATATCTATAGTCTTCCAGTACCGATAGTGCGTGCCTTCAACGGTACTTTGTTGGTCGAACTCGTTTGAATGGGCTCGTTTGAAAGTCCTCCGTGTTCAACATGTTGCATCTTTCGGTTGAGATTACGACGAGAAACCTCATCAAACTATCTTTGTGGATGATCTGCTTATCCAATCTCTATGCATTAAAAGCAATCATCGGAAATGAAAGTCTTCAGCACTTCCTTCCAGCATAAACTACGTAAGGAATCATCATGAGATGGTGACTCTATCATGATTGTTGCTCCCAAGAGTGGGGGGAATGCAAACTCATTTTCCCGAATGAACCGAAGCCGCTCGATTTCTTCAGCAAGGAGACATGAATAACGGCTTTGTATCCAACATAATTTTTTATTGGACTAGTGGTGACTTTCTTTTCGAAATGCCATTCGAAATGCTTGTGACACGGTGACATTGCGCTTGCGAAGCTGGGGCTCTTGCCCCGCTACTTCCAGAGGCTGCATTTCCAAGTCTTGATCATTGGAGTCTCGAATGACCAAACAAGATGCCTTGATTCGTTTCAGGGCGAAAAAGGAAGTAAATAATCCTGGAAGCGTCACTGGGAGACTCTGAAAGATGGTTGCACCGACGACGGCAAAGCAAAGAGAAATCCATAGCCACAAAAAATTCAACTGCAAGGCTGAATCACTCTGCATCGTGACCATGATTCAACTGAAGCCGCCTTCTCCTATATTATACTTCCCTTCCAGCCCTAGTTTTTTACTGTTTGCAATCCTTGTAAAACATCTGATTCGGTTCTATCAAGAAACAAATCCCGTGGAAATAAGACAATAAGGGACGCGTACGAGATGCAAAAAGAAAGAAATCAGTCGCTCACGACTTATTCTTTTTCATCTTGAAACGCAAAGCGGCGGTATGCGCTCCGTGTGTCGTTAAGTAGATATTCATGGAGAAGTCCGGACTGCAATGATCGTAGACAACCTTTCATTTTTTGAAATGCTGATCAAAGAGGGGAACATAAAGGCGGCTGTGAAGCTGCCTTTCTCTAGAGGCAAGAGGGTTAGTGTTCTTGCCGCCATTAATGTTAATGGGTTCATGGCATGGTAGTCGACCCGCATGGCACTTTCACAAGACAAAATTAAGTTCCACTACGCATTCGCTCGAACGGTCATCCCAGGATTGAACCCATCTTCATGGCCACTTCTATTGTCAATGCCAAGATCCACATGTTCAAGGAATTGGAGGAAGCAATCCCCCAACCTGGCTGGCGCAATATTTTTTTCTTGTCTCCTTCTGCGCCACAGCTGGATCCGATTGAAGTTTGCTTTTTAAACGACTAAAGAGATACTATATTCCGAAGAAGGCCAACCTGGTCTTTCCACTCTATCCTGAGTTGGTATTGAAAGTTGCCATGAGAGAGTGCACTAGGAATCAAAATGTCTCTGGTTCTACTGGAGAATATGCTTATTGTGGCTGTGCATTCTTTGGTGGATTTGACGATGACGTGTTTGATAATCTTTGTACTCCTAATAATGATGACTAACTCTATAGTCTTCATCTTCCATACTTATTGTAGATGCCTTGATGGAAGAGATCATGGTTCGGAAGTGAAAGAGCCTGACGGAGCGACACAATATTCATACGAATCATGGCCTTGCGGTCCCACCAAATAACTCAATTTCAACAGGCCTATACACGGTAATCGGTTCAATTTGTAGATTGTTGGCTGCTGCAGCCATTCCCTCTCCTGTTGAATGGCAGGGCAGCAGTAGCTCTTCTTAGTCGTTCAAGTACTGTACTTGAGCTGCTTGACGCCTTGGAACATGGATAAAAATTCAAAAATTGATATATCAATTTTAATATTGAAAAAAATCTTGACCTTATTATATTTGTTAACACCTATGGGCACTGGTGACAAAATGGACCTTTTGGATTAGCATAGAGGTTTGGATCGGATTGTGAAGGGCAGCTAGTAGCGCCTAAAAACGAGTTGCTTGCAACAGCATTGTTCTTCAGGGTTGAGCCCCATGCGCAAAGATTCTGATCAAACGAAGTTGCTTGATTGAACATCCGCCACATTCTATTTACAGAAGAAAGATCCCATGATGACAAGTCGCTATTGAAGGATGTTGCTGAGTAGAACATATACTGTATATCAGTCACAGAAGAAACATCCCATGATGACAAATTTTGATTGAAGGATGTTGCTTGGGAGAACATTCCATCCATTAAGACCACAGAAGAAACATCCCAGGATGACAAGTCTTGATCGAAGGATGGTGCTTGGGAGAACATCCAACTCATGGTTGTAACAGAAGAAACATCCCAGGATGACAAGTCTTCATTGAAAGTGGAGCGATATCTGAAGAGTGCTTCCATACTGGTTACACCTGCACCAAAACACCAGTCTCCAATCGGCCCATACGTGTTCTCAACTGTTGTCTTTTGCAATGCAGTGCCAAACCAATTGTTGACTTCTGTACTGAGTTCGCTGTTGCTTTGAAAGCATGGTTGGGATCCTGTGGGCGTTTGCGAAGGTCTGGTCGATGGGGCATCAGATGGAACCACGCTCGGTTTCGTCGATGGGATGGCAGATGCAACCATACTTGGTTTCATTGATGGCTTCGAAGATGGTTTGATGCTAGGTTGCTTTGATGGATTGGCAGATGGTGCAATGCTTGGCCCAATTGAAGGATTGGTGCTTGGCCCAATTGATGGATTGGCAGATGGACTTTCACTTGGGAGAGCTGACGGAGAGAAACTTGGTACTCTTGACGGTGCACTCGAGGGTGAAAGAGTTGGTCCGACCACTGGAGCCAATGTTGGTGATGAAGAGAGTGTACTGGAAGGTCGTAAACTTGGCGTATTGGATGGCACAGTAGTCGGGCTTACAGTTGGCGGAGGCGTTGGACCAACTACGGGAGCCAAGGTAGGTCTCATTGATGGCTGTGATGTCTGGCTTCCTGCAGTTGGCGCAGGAGTTGGACCAACTACGGGAGACAAGGTAGTTCTCAGTGATGGCTGTGGTGTTTGGCTTCTTACAGTTGGCGGTGGCGTTGGGCCAGCTAGGGGTGCCAAGGTAGGTCCCATTATTGATGGCGTGGATATGACTCTTGATGGTGAAGGGCTTGGGACTTCAGAAATTGTTCGAGTGGGACTTGAAGATGAAGTCACTACTGATGGATCCGTTGATGGAGCCGTTGATACATATTGATCTTCGATTTTGACCAATCGTACGTTGGAGAATGATTCGTCCAAACCGAACGGATCTTTCAAGTTATCATCCCCTTGTCCTTCTTTGTCCAACAATAATTCGTCTATTTGATCAAAAGTCAGACGGACAAGATCCGACCGTTCGACAGGTCCTTTCAAAGTGAGAGACAAATCTATAGAGATTCTATGAAAAAGGTTCGAATCATCTTCATTGTTACCACAGACCACGTCCGGATTGACCTGACCCGTGACAAATGCATTCAAAATCACAAAGCGGCTCCCCCCAATGGCAAGTTGTGGTTGTTCGTCGTCCGCTACCAGTCCTTGGTCACTGTTAGTTTCGCTGTTGCATCCAGCCAAGGGTGGAAGAAGCTTGTCTTGAATAGCCATCAGAAGAGTTTGCACCTGGGGGGTAGTAATGTTGCAGCCCGAGTTTATAGTGACGTCAAAGCTCATGTCAATAACCGTGTCTTCCAAGTCTGCTTCTTGTCCAGCTATGGTTTCGTTCCGGGAGATAGCGCGACACTCTTCTTCACTTGGTGGATCGTATATCTGATATACAATTTGAGTCGTAGTTTCATTCTTGTTGAGACCAAAGAAAGCACCAACTCCGGCGGCAACGAGAACCAGAATGCAACAAACCACACCAATAATGTCCCGCTTTCTTGTCTTTTTGTGCTCTTCTTGAATTGCTTCTCGTTGTGCTTGTTCGTTTGCTTCTCGTTCTGTTCTTTCAGCTTCAAGTCGCTGGTTGAGCTCATCCATGTCTTGTTGACGCTTCTTTTCCTTTTTCTCAAACTCGTGTCTCATTTGTTCAACAGCATCGTGACTATCTGAGTTACCATCCACGGCTACCGCTTCAAATAAATTAGCAGCATCCTCTGGATTGGCTTGGTTGGTAGCAATAAGTGGCGGAGACTGAATGAAGGAGCTATCGGGTCTTCCTTCTTTTTTCCGATGGCGATGGCTCATTCGGCGATCTTCAGGAACAGCTCGTGGTGAATTCGAAGATCGGTGGGACCTTCCCTCCTTTTTTCGATCAGAACCTATGATGCGATCGCTGCTCTCAGGAATCGCACCAGGCTTGGATGCCCTACTTGTCGAGCGTCGTTCCTTTCTTCGAGCATCCGAATGCCTGCTTGTTGTTTCGGAAATGGCACCTGACTTCCTAGAGCTAGGAGAATTCCCTTTCTTTCTAGCAATAGCACTACTACCCCTCCCGTGTTCCGAAACCGCACCTGGTTTGGTTGCCCTTGAACTGCTCCGTTCTTTTCTTCGATGACCAGAACTCCTGCTGTGGCTGTTGCTGCTGTTGCTGTTGCTGCTTTTGCGACTCTCTTTTACAGCACCTGGCTTGGCTGCCCTACTTGGGCTACTTCGTCTCTTGTGATCCTGCTTGTGATCTTGTTTCTTCTCTGCTGTCATTTTACCGTACCTATATAAAATGACTGTAGCAACTTCCAACTTTTGCTACATTTTGTATGGACAGGCTTTTGATGCAGGTGATGTCAGATTTCTGATCTGGCCAATTAAGAGTTCTAGCTTGCGCATTGTTACTGTCGTACACATGTACCTCCTCGTGCTACCTATAGAATAGAGCCAGAACTCATCGTTTTTGCAGATCAAGTAAGCATGATTATAATAGTGCACGTGGCACATGCATCATATGTGTGTGTTTTAAAAAAAGACAATTATATGTTGTTTTTCCTAATTGGCAGACGAACGCTGACAGCCAGTGAAGATGACGGGACCACATGGAGATTCCCGAATGGAACGGCGTGCGCGAGATCCGACGGTATTGGTACTGGAAATTATTTAGACGCTACGGCAGAGTCTTCTCGCGAACTTGGAGAAAAAATAGGGACGAAACATCATTATCTTTTTCAAGTAGACTACAGCGACGAAACGAGGACAAGTGCACTGATCATCGGTTTCCGGCTTCAAATAGTACATCTGAAGCTACCGTGATTATCCACTTGGATTTTTTGATTTTAATTGAGTTTTTGCATTCTGTTCCTAACCTCTGGTCATGACTGACTACTTCGCTAAGATGAAGGCTGCCAAGCAGTCGCCGCTGTTCGCGTGCTGACTGTGGCGGCGGATGCCAGCTCTGTCTGTGAACGCTAGGGGTCTGCTCCAAACGAATGTTTCCAGTATCTAGAAGGCTATTCTTTTCTCTTCTTAGTGTCTTTGTGGACGAAGGGTGTGACTTGCGACCCCGGCTTTTCCCTGAGATCCTTCTTGTCACTGTACGTCTAACAATCAAGAGCGCCCTAGCTGCGCAACATCTTGAACGACAAGCCAGTCATTGCGATAGAGGAGTAATATGATCAATACATGTGTGACACTAGTCTTCTTTCCTCCAAGTCTGCTAATAATTGTTCGGAGTACAGCATTTGGTTTCTGTCTTCAAGAAATGGGCGTATAGTACAGACTAAATTTATTGTACACACAAGCGTGCAGTACCAGGTACGTGTACCATAGTACCAATAGTTGTTTCCTGTCGCACATTTATTTTACTCCGTCACCGCAAGCAAAATTAATAATGATGAAAGTTCTCGTATATTGCGACGTTGCCACCGCCAACAAACACTGCAGGTGACCGACCAGTGAGAAATCAAAACACAAATGGAACGGGCATTTGATTTGATTCACATTAGAGGTTAATTGTCAATGTGCCAGCCGCATGGGAAGAAGCAAACCCGAAACGGAGACTAGTCGCTCACAGCATGCGTACAAAGTCCGATTTGGGAGTCATGGTACCGAGTTTGGATACGATCCATCATTCCGATAAATGTGATGCTGATGTCTTTAGAATGATGATATATCTGGTTTTGATTCTTGAATATCGATTTCAATCGATCGATACTACTACAGCAGGACCCCCTATCCTGTCTTTGTTTACGCAGCTTCTTCATTGGGAGCTATATTTCATGATGACATATATCCAATGATTTGTTCGTTTGTGTAGCTTGGATTAGTTGTTTACATTTGTCTTCCAAGTTCATGAAGTATCGCTTGTGTAAGAGTGAAATGGCTACTACTATATTACTTGGTTTTTACGCTTTCAGGCACTAACTCTATCAGTTCCATATGCTTGGAGATCTTCACGAAGATCTGGTATAGACGGCAAAATTTCGAAGTATTGATTAGCCACTGATGCATTGCCAAAATTTTGCTCAATCACGCCAAGGTTGTTGATCACTGCATACTGAAACAGCGGACTTTGAGTCATGCCTTGTGGATCGCATATCAATCTGTACAACTGCTTGGCTTTGAGCATTGCTGGGCAAGCTCTTGTTTTCGCCGAAAGGTGGTGCGCAAGCGCGGAATTGAAGATGAGAACCCAAGAGATGATGGATGGTATGGTTTCAGTTGGGGGAATTCGGATGCCTACTTGGTAAATCATCATGCCATTGTTAGCAGCACTTGACGCCGGCTTCACTTGATCAGCACAATCAGCAGAAGAAATCATGTGCTGGTCCAAGGAATCGCCATCACAGATTGTATGATCCCAGACTGAATCGGCGATGGTTCGTAGCAACGGCAGAGCAAGCGCAAAGGACTGGATTGCATTTGGGAAATCGTTTTCCATGAGCAGAGAAACTCCTCGATTATTTTGATCGATGATATCGCTGATGCCCATGGCGATGTTGATTACCGAGCTTTCTAGTAGTGCGATTGCTTGTTCTTGTGATTAGGTAGCTGGTAGATGCTAAAGCTAGAGCTGGTGGAATGTGTGATGATACGAAGAAAGACGTCGTCAGTTTTTGAGCTTCAGGATCAGCTGTCTTGGACGCGCATTATGAAAAGAAGATTACGAGTATTGCATGTAATTCTTCCAGATCAGAAACTGTATGATTCGCTCTACAAAAGTAATAGCTACAGAAACAATATGTAATCAATATATAAATATATAGGGTAGAAGAATCCAGATTTCTGAAGAAGATGTGAAAGAGAAGACAAGTGTTTACCTCTGTTACAAGTACCTGGTACACGTACGCCCGTGACCGACTAAATGAATTTATATGCACTTGAGCCCCGGAACAGACTTTGTGGTTGGATTAATTTTAAAACTCCCGACTAAACGAACGTTGAGACACGGGCGTACCTGGTACCTACCGGTACAGGATACGTTGACCCAAAATATATGCTGATGCTGAACGGTGTCAATTCGGGTTCATTACCTAGAGAGCCCAAAAGTATTAAAATTCTTTTTTTTAATTTTGCTGATCAGAAACTGTGGTTATAGTTTTAGTCCTATGACTACCGGTACTCTGTGCAATCTTTTAAAAAATAGAATTCAGGGATAAGATTGCCCAAAGTGCAGTCTATCATAATATTTCCAACGCTATTTTGGAAGCGGTAATATAACAATATGGCTATAAGCAAGACCTTGATTGAGCTGAATGATGCCACAGTTGCATTCCTACAATCAGGAGAAGACCTACCCAAGGCTCTCGAATCGTCGATACTTGCACTGAGCTACAATCGAACATTTCTTGAAGGGGAAACCGTGTCCAGTCAAAGCAATTCAAGTTTGGATGAATGTATGCTGCTCTCGGCTACTGGGAGCGATCCTAGTACCGCTGTCAAGAGCGGGACTTTCATCTACGACCACGCCGTCATCATTCCGACCACAATTGAGATTGACGCCACGATCGTGACCGCTATTCTCGTCTTCAATGCCGCCCTTGCTAATCATGAGCTGGCAGAGAGCAACCGCTTGTATCATGGCACTCGTGTGCGTCTGCTGACGAGAGCGAAGCATTTGTATCAGCTCGCATACATATCATGTGATTTGGAGCAGAATCCGTTGTTTCAGTTTGCTCTCATCAACAACATTGCTGTGATCGAACGAGAAATTGGAAATGTTTCTACTGCAAACGAATGTTTCGCGTATCTATTCTCCCTTCTGATTGTCTTTGTGGATCAAGGATATGACTTGCGACTCCGGCTTGTCCATGGGTTTGTTGCCAATGTACCTTTCAGCATCAAGAATGCTGCCCCAGCTGCGTAACGTCGTCTTGAACGACAAACCAGGCATTCCGAGAGAACGAGGAATCTACAGTAATCAGGCAGCGTGTATGTAGTTTCACTAGAAATAGTTATTCTGCTGATCATATTGTTGTTCGATGTACAACATTTTCTGGTGGGAACGATATACCGCCAGCATCTGCTGCTGATGTATCGATCATATGCACCGGTACGCGGGGGTATTATACCGGTATAGAGTCCTGATGAGCGATGAGGAGCGCTTTTTGGACACTTCCAAAGGCTGCGGTCGCACACCTCAGTTGAAAAGCCCTTGCAAGGGAGAAATGCCGTTATAACTCGCACTCTCAGTCGCATAGGTCGATTGATTCATTCGACCATCCATTCGGCTTCCGGACTATGCGCTGCGGGCGTTTGTTACGTACGTACAAAACATACCAAAAAGACTTGGCAAGACCGGTCGGAGGGACGGACAGAATACCAAATCCAGAAATTATTATGCGTATTGTCAGTCCAATAATGAAAACGCATTTGCAGGAGAGATATATACTGAATACTGTGGATGTAATGAAGCAAGACCTTTTGCATTGAGATAACACTAACATACGACTTTATACATAGCCACAATGTTGAAAGTGACCAGGAGAAGACAATAAAAAGAAGTTTCCGAGAAAGATTTTGACAGTTGCAACGCGAAGGTGCTGCCTTCTTTGTTATATTCAATTCACAGACTGAAACCGTCAGCCAAACAGCCATTCAGAAGTTCCGTCGTACCATAAACGTCATCGTCATCCGGAAGTTTCTTCGGTATCCGCTCCAGATCGATCTGTTGACACGAACCTTCAGCCTCGAACACAATCTCTCTTTGTAAACGGGGTCCCGGATTGATTGACAACCGACAGTCAAAAATTTCTGCAGACGATTCATTCTGAATTCAGGTGATTCAACAAGCGTCACCAGCTTCGCTGCATCAGCACCATGGAAGACTACAAGGAATTAATCGACGAACATGTTCACTACTCTCAATCCTTGGCGTCGGTCAGTCAAATTGAAAAGTTGTCTCAGAAACGAGGCAAGAACCCTGTCAACGAACGCTTCAAGGTTACACCAGATACGTATTATCCCAACACCTACATGAACCGCAATGAACTACGGCAAGAAATGAATAGCAAGTCGGTCACCTATCAAGATCTTAGGCACTTTGCTTCGGAAGATATTGGACAATTGCACGTAGAAATACTCCAATGTTTCGGCCTTCCTACGGCATCGGCCTTTCGGGAAGTATCGGCGTTTGGAATTGCCGTCTGTGGGTCCCATGCCTTTTCGACAGATGTCATGCCGCCAGTGGGGAATCCAATGTGGCTGTGCAAAATGCAGCGGGCTGGAATCTTTCCATTGACGAGTGCTTACCAACGCTTATTTGTGGGAATCTTTGACCATGTATCTACCGATAAGTCATCGCAACGAAAGGACGATTTCATCGGGCGAGTAGTCATAGATATAGCGCGACTACGGCCTGGATGTGTCTATGACATTACGTTACCTCTAAGGCAGAGCGCGCATGTGTTTGGGAGGGAACCGAGGGGTGCCATTCGGCTGAGAATACATTTGCATTGGGAGAGTGAGCGGGCAGCCGTGGCCAGCTACTTGCCCTCGTTGGATGATCCTCATCCGATTCACAGTCGATTGAACCCGAATGAGCAGCACCAAATTCATTGTTTTGATGAGCGGGCGTTTCGCAACGTCGCTCAAGTTGTTCATGGGAAAGACATGCAAGGGAAATTCAGCATGTCGGTGATGAAGGCAACTATTCGTGAATTCAACTTTTTACGCATCCATTACTTGCGTTATTTGCGAAAACGGGAGCTGTATAATCTGCGGTGGTGGATACATCCTTTCATCTCCGGCTTTGTCTTTGTGGCTTGGATGCATGCAATCTACGCCAATACTGTGCGATACGTGCCAGCCCACTTTGTGACTTTCCTGCTACTGCACCTATATAAAAACTATGTTCGCTATGCAATCCACTGTGGACATGGTTTTCTGGGGCCCAGTATCGAAGAACTCTTTCTAGCCTTGGTCTATGGGACATCGGATAATCCCAAAAAGTACATTGTACCACTAAATATGGAGCGCGAGGAACAACCGCAAGATTCGATTGCCTTGGGGGGCAAGAGCACGCCCAGCAGCAGCATGGAGTTTGATATTTTGGATAGCGACGACGACGAAAATGACTATCAGCCGAAGGACGCATCTACAAAATCACAGTCAAGTAAGGGGGCTTTGAACCTAGAAGATGACGGCGCTGCAATCATCCCCATCCGCCAAATCGCTGAACACATGCGACAAGCATTACCGGTTAGAGATTATAAATCTTCTTTGATGAAAACTTACAAGGATTGCTTCACGGGGAAAGAAGCGGTGGACTTTATGCTTACTCACGGGTACGCTCATTCTCGTCTGGATGCAGTGGCTCTCGGGAAACGATTAGCCAGCGAAACCAAACTCTTCGAACATATTACTCGAAAATATCAATTCGAAGATACATCTTATCGGTATCAGTTTGTGGAATATGACAGTCAAACCTATGTGATTACCGGACGCAAGCCGAGGGGTGAGCGTTTTTTTCGTTTGATTGGCTTTTTGAATGACGAGGATGCAGAACAAGAGAGGCACATGGAATTTCCGTTTGCATCAGAAAAAGATGATCCGCAATTTACGGTAGAAGAATCTATAGTAATTCGATCCCTCGAATCCAAAAAGGAACAAGAAAAGCTGAAGCGCCAAAAAAAGAAGCGACGCAATTCATCAGATTCGTTTGATTTTGACGTTGACGATGACGACAAGACGCTATTGGGAGGGAGTGACGCAATTTCGGATCATCTCTTTGATGGTATAGTCCCCTCGGCTAGAAGTGGGCTGACCGCAAGTTTCCGACGTGATGAGATGAACCAAGGAATAAAGCAAGTTTCGACAGAAGCAGCAACCGCCATGAAGAGTGGTTTAAAAAAGGCGCAAGTATACGCGCACAACAGACCCTTTAATCGGAACCGATTAGCAAGTAGCAAGTCATCGAGCGGGAACAGTTTCAGGATGTCTGGTTTCTTGGATGCTGGAGCGTCAGTCGATTATGAGAGCTATGGCGATGTCATCGATGTTTCCCAACGACAAATGGGCGAGGCCTTTGTCATTGAAGAAAAGAGTTTAGTAAAACCACCGCCACAAAATATCAATGAGAAGGTAGACGAAGGAAAGGGAGCTTCCTTTGCCAAGACTGTTAGTGACGCTAGACACCAAATGCATGATGTTCTTGGTCATACTTTCAACGATCGAATTTTCAAGGTCAACCCCTTCATTCATCCAAAGGAAGACGACTCAGACGATGATCGAGATCGAGATCGAGCTATCCCCCGCAAGGATTCTTCAAGTGAAAAGAAGACACCGTATCAAGCAATGACGGATGAAAACAACAAGATACTGCAAATCAAACGGTATTCTCATTCCAACCAAATGGTCAATAGGATTGGTGGTGTGGTGCAGCCAGTGGTAGAGATGTTGCAAATAGGAGTCTTCTTGGGGAGAACCATTTTCAATATTTACACCTGGCAAGATCCAATATTCTCTTTTTGGTTTGCTGTTTTGGGTCCAGTCTTGGTCGTTCTCCTTTACATTGCTCCCTATCGAATAATTTTTGGCGTGGCAGGAGCTATCTTTATGGGCCCACACAATTGGGCTTTGCGAGTGTACCGAGAGAAACAGCCAGGGTATCAACCACCAGATTTTGACAAGATTGTCCGCAAGAAGAAGGTAGACAAAGGTTTGCTCGATAGTCAAGATCAGGAATTTGCCAACTGCACAATATTCTCAAGTGCGGCTTCCGGAGGAAACTATGAGGGCCACATTGATCCCAAGAGGCTTCGGACAGTGGTGGTCCCCACAAGTGTCCTAAGATACAACCATCGATTTTATGAGTGGCCACCGGAAGCCAAATATGCGCGAGTCTACCAGTCATCGGCCAAAGAGCTAGTACGTCGGGCTCGTGGTCAGAATCATCGAGGAGGAGAAGGGACCATGAGGACCATTGGTGAAAACGATGCCGAGGGTATGTTTGAATACGAAAGTGTCGACTCATCCGAAGGCGATCATACCGATTCGTCAAGTTTGCTGAATGTTGAGATCCATCGACTATCGGCTGGACGAGTTACGCGGAGACCTCGGCGAGGGAGCATGATCGCCATCAACCCAAGACAGTTTCGGAAAAAGGTCGTGGCCTTGACCGATGACATGAAAAAGAAAGGAAAGGACAGGATCAACAAGATACATCCGTCTCGAGGAGGAGGAGGAGGAATGCCTGGTGGTGCCGAAAGCGGCAATAGCCATTCTATGAAGAATAGGATGAAGAAGAAGCTTCGTATGTGGGATTCTAACAAGAAACACAGCTGATTTGTGGACGAAGAATCTGATCCCTATTGGTAGTAATGATTATAAAATAATAATGCTAAATTGAGAGTTGAGTTTTTTTGCCGACACCTGTTTTTGTGGGATCAATCGAAATGTGCACGCCCTTAATTAGATTTATCCAGTCCAGTGAGAAAACACGAGTGTTGGATTGTCTCCACAATTTGCCGTCTCCTCTTGCAAATCCAACAGCGTGCAAATCCATACTGCCAATAGTGAAACCATGAAACCTTTTTGGAAAACATTGAAAAATTCCATCGGAGACTACAGGATCAGGATCTACGCACAATTCAAAATATTATCTGTAGAACACATTCATTCATTGTAGTTCACCATGAAATCGCTTTCCCCAACACAGGAACAGCTCTGCTTATCACTCCTAGGATGTTCTGGGACTGGTAACCACCATGCACCATCATTCACACTGTATGAACAGCAACTACAACTACAACAATCTATTCCCGGTATCTTGACTGGAGTTAGAACACAAACTGACGCGTTCCAACACAACTTTGCCATGCATCAGGAACAATCCAAAGCAGTGGATCATCTATTCTCTTCACTTTCCAAAGTCAATGAGCACAAGGATATTACAGCAGCAGGTACGATTGAAACACAAAATCTAAGTCTTTTAGACTTTAAACGAGAAGTCGAACAAAGCCACTATCCCATATACGAACTAGCACTACAACAAGATAGATCATACGTGGAAGATCCTGCATTCTGTCTAAAGTTTCTGCGGGCCAACAAGTACAACGTCCCGAAAGCAGTCAAGCAGATGATCGATTTTCTCCGCCAGAAAGCGATTTACTTTGGAGCGGACAAGCTTTCTCATGACGTTACCACAGAGGACTTGAGCACAAAGGAGCTTGAGGTACTGCTTTCTGGTCAGTATCACATTCAAGACGCAACCGATCCAAACGGTAGAGCGATTATCTACTGTTTTAATACAAAGTTTGGACAATGCAACGCGGATTCTCAGGTGAGTTAAAAAAAATGTTTCAAGTGGTACCATGAACTGATTTGGGTAATACCATCAAAGAAGAAGAAGAGATCCCACTCACGCTTATGTTCTTAATTTTCTTGCAATATCAATGAATAGATTCGAGTCAATTTCTACATCTGGTACAACATATTGACAAACTTACCAGCGGTTCAAAGCAAAGGCGTCACAGCCGTCTATTACGATCTAATGAAACCTGGAGAGAATCTCGGTTCTCTTGGCTTAAACTCAATGAGACAAGTTGTTGACTTCATGTCTTGTCTCCCAATTCACTGCTCGGAGACACATCTTTGCCTCAAAGAAGGACAGACCCAAGGAAACCTAGCGCTGCAAAATCTGTTTCTTGGCTTGCCAGTGACTTGCAAGGAAGGAGCTCATTTGCACTATGGATCCGACCTTGAGTTGCAAAGCTTGGTGGGTGTCCACGGCATTCCACAAGATACATTTCCAGTGGACGTCTTTGGAAATATTCGAGAAGGCCTGCGGAATGTATGGTTGCACAAATACATGAGCGATGCTTCGTCTCGTTACTTGCTCGAAAATCAAGGCGATGGTGAATCGTCGTCTGCAGCCACTACCAAAGCTACATCGCGCCCCGCCAACGTCGTGTGGTTCAATCAAAGCGAGATGATGTCCACTGATGGTGGTTCTAGTTCTCCTGCTTCTCTAGAGCAAAAGAGAAAGTCTGCTGTCAGCAACACTTCCAAGGATCCAAAACCCAAGCCAAAGCGCCAAAGAATCAGTGCCGACACCGCCTCGCCTTCACTGAAAAATATCTCTTTCAAGAAAGCAATCCCTGAAGATGGCCTGAATCTGGATGCAATTTGCAAAGCTTTTCTGACTGCCAATCGAACCACCGGCGAAGCCAAGGATCTTTCACGGCCAGACGCCGACAAGAACACAGCCAGGCGTGCAAATGAATCATCACCATCCACCAACAAAAAAGAAGAACCACCTACTCCTGTCCAACCCACTCCTACTGCTCCTGCGGTAGAGAAAATCGGTTCGATGGATACTATTTTCCGGGAGGTGTCGTTGTCCACCACGGAAACATCAACATCGTCACCCACCACGGAAACATCAACATCGTCACCACCAACAATACCACAAACTACTATCAATTCTATGTATTCTTCACAAGAAGTGCCACATGCTCAGTTCCCGAGCAAGTTGGATGTCTTGTTTGGAAGAGGCAAAGCCATTCAGAACCACTCTGGCAATGTCATGTTCCGCCAATTTGTGGAAAACTTTCAGGAAGAGTACAACCGAACTAGACGTATCGACCGACGTCAAGTGTCTGGGGATGTCACCCAACTGTTGATCAAGGTCAAGGGGGTTCGATTTTGGCAGATGTCTCGCTCGGGAGGATGGCAGGAAGCGAGTGTGGATGTCGCCGATTTGAAGGTCGGGCAACTCTTGCGAACCTTTCGCAAACAACATTTGCAACAGTTGGAGGAGGATCAAGAGACGAGCGAGAAAGGAGAAACGGGAGGCTCACCGAACAATACTGTATACCATGTATAACAATATCTAAGATTTTGAATATCACGATCATCATGAAGCATCATCATCTTTACAATAATCGTAGTGTAGCACTGCTGTGCCAGCCCAACATAGTCTACCACAAACTAGCTAGAATCGATTCCAATGAAATGCCTCTGAGTGATGTCCTCGTAGCAGGACCTGCACGGTACTGTACCTACTTGAAGGGCTTTTAGTCCGTTTCCGTACTACTGTATGCATGGTGTTCGTAGCGGATATACCCGTACCTATTCGCCATTCGTTCCTGGCATCAGGTGTCGATGGTTCATGGCATCAGATTCTATTTTCGTGGTTGAAGTTTCCTTGAAGTTGCGACTCATTTTCCGGTTTCTGACGTTCATGAGGATGAACCTTTTAATACCGCAAAGCTATTTGTACTGTATCGTTCGACACAAGTAAAATAAAACCGTCAATCTGAAGAACACATGATACTGTAGTGGAAGTGGGTGAGTCATTAGTTTCTCCGCTTTCTCATGGGCGGATTCTGCTGGACGACGTGCGACATACAGACTAAAAAGATTCATCCTGCTAATTCCATTTCAATTCGGAACGCATGGAAGGTATGGCCGGCGAAACGGTATTGACGAAAAGACTCGAGGTACCATGGATTTTACTTATTCCAACTTTCAAAATTATCGCCAACACAGCAATTGCAAGGGCGGGAAAACCGATGTCTCGTGTCGATCATGACACGATGTGTTTTCACTTGAAAAATAGAACACGAACTGTTGTGAGGGTGTTGTGAGGGTGGCAACATCTTTCCTTTTCTGAGAGTGTGCAATCATTCAACTGAATTGAACGTAACTTAGCACAATGGCGGAAGAAAACCCTCCTGAAGCTCCAGCAGGAGAGGAAGCAGAAGCTCCCAAAGACGTGGAATTAGTAGAAGTAGAAGAAGAAGAGATTGATCTCAGCAGAGGTGTCGCGAAGAGTAATGATTGGGATGAAGAAGACGACGAGGAAGACACTCAGATCTTGTTGGATGGAGAGGATTTGCTGCCAGACTTTCAAGATCACTTTAGTTTGCCTAAAGAATCTTGTATGGTGAGATCGAGAAAGAAGGCCAATGGAGTTCGTGTGTAGTAAGTATTATTGTCGAATATGGAAGATGACTTTTGGTTATGCGCTTGATGTGCTTGTTTTTTTCTTTCTTTCTCACCAATCCCATTCCGTCTCATTTAATCTAAATCACTCTCTCAACAGCGACCCTGGTTTTTCGCAGCAAGTCGTCATTGAAGAAACCTATGATGAAAACAATGGACTCAAGATTGAAGTCAAAAAGATGACAGACGTGACTACCGGTCATCAATTGATGAATGCCTTTTATGCCATTGTCGCCGCTCTCTTTGCTGGATTCCTCTTTGTCTTTTGTCTTCAAATACTATTGTTTGTAGTATTGGACCTCAGTATTGAGTCTGGTGCTACTAGTTTCAACAAGACGGCTGATGGAGAAGAAGATAATTCCATTCGATGGTCCACTGTCATCGGAGTGGCCTTTGCCCTCATTTCCTTCTCGCACTACTTTGCCGAAGCCTTGGTCATTGCTGGATCCTTCATCATGGATGCTTACAATGACCATCCATTGTCTAGAACTTTTATTCTCAAGGGGAACAAACATGGACATGTCATTATCGAATGGCTCTTTCTCAGTTGCTTTTTCTTGTTTCCCATTTTCGTGGGATGCGTTGGACTTTTGGCGGCCAGTGACAAGTGGTGGTATTATACTTCTCTTTCTTGGTTTATCTTGGTTATGGCCTTTTTTTGCATCTTTTGCTTTTGTGTGGTATTTTATGAGGTAAGACTTTTGATTTGATAACGTGATGATGGATGCATCATTTGGGGCATATCGTTCTCGTACTCACACAATGCCTCGCCTCTCCTTCCCCGTATTATAGGTCGGATCTTGCTACTCCTTTGTGGCCAATCGTCAGGATGCCGACTCGGACTTCATTTTGGACGTGCTCAAGAGATGCGTCTTGCTACGCCAAACGCGTCGAATGTCGGGATATGTCACTTCCAGTGGACTTGCCCGAAATGTCTTTACCAATACGGAAGCGACGGACCATACCAGGAAATCACAAATTTACAAATCCAGTCTTGAGATTCATACCCCCATTTGGACACGCTTGGTCTCGTGCATGCCTTCTTTTCTCTACACCAATCTATCCGAAAACCCAAAGACCATTCATACTATTCCAGATGTTCAAGATTATCGTCCCTTCTTGACCAAACATACTTGGTCCTTGGAACGCATCTTTTGCCGACCGGAGCCTTCCCGGTATATCAGTATTGTTAGAGGACCCGGGGCCTTGACCAAGGGACAATTGAGATCCAGTGTCATTTGTTCCCTCCTTTCCATGTTTTTCATTTGCCTGTTGGTGGCCGGATTCTTGGTATGGTTTGGATTGGGGGCCGGTCCCATTATCGTCTTTTTGCTGATTGTCTTGGCCTTGTCTTGGTCCAGTCTGCGAAATACCTACACCTTGGTCCGACTGGGCAAGGATTTGATTGAAGTCCGAGAAGCCAAGAAAACAAATTACAAAAAGGCACAAGACAAAGCCCAGAAGGAAGGAGACGAAGAAAATGGTCAAGCTGCCCCTCCTGCTGCTGCCGCTGAGTCAGAGCCATCTCGTCGAAGTACTGTGACGTTCCAAAAGACGGATCACAAGGCAAAAATATCAGAGGCTGTCTTTCATATTACGCAATTGGAACGTCATTACGAACCAACCGAAGCCCTATGCTGGATTTCGTTCATTGTGGAATTGGGTATCTTCTTTGTCTATCCAACCATTTCTCTCTTTTACATTGGAGATTCCAGTTTGGGAGGAGTCTTTGTCGTATTGTCCATCGTCTCCAATATCAGATGGTACATGAACATTGTCACTGCCATTGAAGAAACAGGAGTAAGTGTCTTTTATCGGTCTTGACGTGGAATGAAAATGATGATTTGTATATTTTGAAAGCAAACGAAAATCTAACTATTCATTCTTAATGTTATTGTTTTAGAACATGGATTTGGTGGGTGGCGATACTCCAGCGGAAACATGGGCAAACAAAGCTCGTCTCAACCAAATTGTTGGATCTATTTCCGCTAATGGCGCCTACAAGGGCTGGAGAGTCCTCATGACTTCACTCGGTTTTGCTTTTATTCTCATTTTGTTGACAACCTTTGATTCGGGAGCCATTGCAGCCGCCGCTGCGCCACTAACGTACTTGCCATATGGAGAATGGGAATATCCAGGAGCTTCTGAAGATATGCGCTATCCAACTTGTACTTTGAGTCGTCTCAAGGGAGGTTTTGCCGACCAATCGACAATGCTTGACTTTGCTTGGATGGCTGGAGCTGCCTATGTTGCGGACAATCAAACCCAAGCATCCCTTGACACTTGGTTTGAGAATAGCCCGGGAGTGATGGACTTACAACCCGTTGTCGATGAATTCCGTTCACGTGAAGATCCCAAAAACGAAATTGCCGTCAAGTTCAAGTTGATCTCGGTTCCTGGTCCTGGGGCGGGAGAAACAACTGCCATAATCATGATTCGTGGTACCGTCAATCAATTTGATATGTTGGCCGATGCGCAGCTATGGAGTGCTGCCGCGCTTATGCAGTGGCTGCGTGGAATCATTCCGATTGGAGAAATCTGGACGGAGATCTTTCCCGATTTGGTCAGTTGGATGAACGCAGTGGCGAGTACCTCCATTGAAAAGGTTGCCTTTTACAAGCTCACCACCAAGTTTGCCGAAGAACTGAAGGCAAACGGCGACTATGCACACATCCAAGTGACTGGTCACAGTTTGGGTGGTGGCCTGTCTTTGATTACTGGTGCTCAAGCCAAGATCCCTGCTGTCGGTCTGTCAGCTCCCAATGCTCGTATTTCTGGAAAGTCATACGACCCACCAATCGATTGGCATGACATTAACAAGTATGGATTCAACATTATTCCAAAGCACGATATTGTGCCCAAATTGGACGATGTCGCCGATAATTGGCAACAAATAGGATGCAATGCCGATCTCAGCAAGGCCGCTGGGTTCTGTCACTTTGGTGTTCGGTCGATATGCGAGCTGATGCACACTTGCGGTTCAGGCAATCGTCCTGTCTTTTGCGAGTGTGTGACTGCTTACGGATACGAGCCGCCAACGAGTCTAAGCGGTGATCAAGCAAGCTTCGACCAGCTGTGTCCTATGCCCGAATAAATATTGATGTCTTCAATGGTTCAGATGATATAGCTGGACAGATGTGTGTTTGTGCGATGTGTTTTAAAAAATAAATTATTAGTTTGAAGTAAACGGTTTCTGTTTACATGACACATCGTAGCATGCAGAAATATTAGTGCAAGTCAGCTTCATTCATTCTTTCAGGCTCATTTCTCATTTGGTAGAACTCATCTGGTATCATGCTTGCGACCATAACATTCCAGCATCACACGCGGTTTCCCCTACTAATGCATGTAGTAAAAAGGCATCTGTTATCACATGCTATATGGTTAATATATTCTAATCGTTCTTTGTCATATTTCTATCTCGCAATCATGCGGCTCGTGCAACATTCAGTCCGTCTCTCAAAAGAACATTGGAGAATATGTTTCTCCATTCATTCTGATACAAGACGCTGCCATTGGCGAAAGATTGACGGCGGCAAATGATTCCAAGCTGTTTGAGATAGTGTCGTACCACCTTGATGTTTCCATGTTCTAAGGCCAATTGTGCCATGTTGTTTATGGCGCTGCCAACTATCAGCACGGATTGATCATCGTGTACAGTACCTTTGTTGTCAGTTTTTCCTACGAGAACGCATGTTTCATAGAATATTTCTGCCTTCTCTAAAGACGTTGAGCTTTCATCATATAGGCCAAGCGAGTGATGTAGAAGCGCCATATTGAATAGTAGAAGGGAACAGAGAAAGCTGATCTGTTGAGAATGCTCAGAAGAACACGGTCCAACAAGGGAGACAGTCAATGGCCGGTCGCAGATGTATACGGCATCCTGCTTTTTCGCGTATCCCTCAAGTGACCTGCTCTCAGAAGGCGAGTAAGAGAAGCAGTAGCCTACCTTGGAACACTCTAGGTCCTCGTTGATATCAGCCTGTTGCTGTAAGAGCAAAATGAGTTCCTCTACAGTTTCAAGAGCCTCGGCAAAGTAGCCATATGCACTTGACACCTCGCCAATATTGAGGCTCGTAACACCAAAATTGTTCAATGCACACACTCTTTGGGTGACAGTGTATTGAGCAGGAAGTGATGCCATAATTCAGTTGGTAAGAAATAATAGAAACGAAAATTATGAGATGGGAGTGCAGCATTGATGCGGTTCAAGAACTTTGTTTTTGTGACGGTAATTTTTCCACAAATGTGAGACGGAACCGCCGCTTTTTTATTTGGTGGCGGCTTTTCCCTCGGCGTTTCCAAAACCAAGAATCACATGCGATCAGTGTCGAATTCTCAAGATCCCTTACTGTTGTCACATTTTTGTCAGATTTCCAAATTCATTCGGTATAGCAGCCAATATATACATGACAGTACAGCATGACCTCAAATGAAGCTTACACCAAGGGTTATCAGGAGCTTACGGGCAGCCGAGAAATGGTTCTGGCTTTGCTTCCCATTCTATCTGCTGTATTCGGCGTACTCGGCAGTATTGTCGTAATTACGATGGCTTTTGAATTGCATCGCTCCAAATCGCGTGGACTCCGTATCACTGCTTGATTACTGCTGTGAGTGTCTACGCAATCCTTTTTTGTATCCCAAGGATACTTCCAATTTTGTCTGGGCCTTTGGCAATGATGCCAGCTGTACAGGAATCGTATTCATGAATCAATTTTCTGCATCCGCCTTCCTTTACCAGTCTATTCTCGGGATCTACTTTGTATTAAAGACTAAATATGGACTGTATGATGACGAAGTTACAATCAAGTAGGAGCCTTTGATGCACATTGTTGCGCTTGGTTACCCGTTGGTATCAGCAGTTTCAGGTCTCTTTTTGGATGCTTTTGGGGGACGGCAGGCGGCAAATAGAAACTGTTACCAAGTATGCAGCGAGAAGGTAAATGATTTTAGAATACTTGATTCTGTGATGACAGGGGTTCTTGGGTTGTTGGGTACAGACTTGTCCGTTTGATGCAGAAGGAAACCGCATCGAGTGCAATCTGCCAGCAGTGGATTGGTTCTTTGTCCGCGCCGTGTATCTTTTTACTTTTGGATCGATTACGGATTGTGGGATCATTCTTTATCTATTTGCACAGAAGAGAATGAAAATAAAGGAGCAACTAACAAGCGCTAACCAACGGTTCTACTCTTCCGACTGGGGAGATAGTGTCTTTGATGTATCCACTCCTTTAGACTTGGTCCCTGATAAGCGCGTCAGAGAAGCTCAAATGAAAGCGAAACATAAGTAACAGTTGCGACTGGTGCGATCTCAGGCCGATTTGTACATTGGTGCTGTCGTTGTCTGCAATTTTGCCACCATGACCCTGCGCTTCATTATTGGCGCTTCAGATGGACTTCTCAAAGGAAATGCAGATTCCCCACGATTGATGATTCTTCAAGCGATTCTATTTCCACTTCAAGGTTTTGTGAACATGCTTGTGTACATGAGACCTCGATACTTCAAAAATCGCACAGACTTTTTAGCCGAGAGTTGTTGATGGGCCTTTCGTCGATGCGTCTACGGAGATCAGGTCGAACCCACCCAAAAAGTTGTAAAGGAGAAGGTAGCAACTTACACACCAGTTCAATTCCACGGGAAAGATGTCAATATCAATCAAACCATTGTATCAGAATCTGGGCAAATCATTGGCATCCAAGACGCGGAGCTTCGCAGCAAAAGTAGGTGCTCGGATGGAACATGAGAGTTCCGATGCCGCCAACCACTCGGCCACAACCGATGATCAAGTAACCGAAAGTATGCCGAGAGTCAATTTGGAAAAGAAAAAGGAAATTCATGTGTCATCGTCATCCAGCACAGTACATTAGTAGTCATGGATGGAAATTTCGTAGGAACTGAAGGCATTCGCATCAAACAATAGTAACATAATCATCGAGCCATTCTGTTCGCTTTTGATCACAACCATTTTTGCTGTAAATTATTGGGAAATAGGTTTCATCCACCTCCACACTATTGAATCGTTTGTACCTCCCATAAATGTAACTCGCATTGCCAAATGGCAATGGTGGTGTTGCTGTCGAATGATCATCCTCCACAAAGGTGACATCACCTCGCAAGAAATGCACCACAAGAGCCCGTCGATGTCGTGTATCTGATGTATTAGGACCGCTACCATGCCATGTATCTTGATGATGTAGAACCGCATGACCGGCACTAACCGGTGCTGCCTGGATGTTCTTGGTCAGTTGTGCGGGTAAATCATCAGCGTTGTTCTTTGCCGAAGCAATGGCATATGCCTTGTCGATCGCGCTCTTGTAACTCTTTTCATCGGATCCATGAAAGCTTGACATATCAGAGGATTCTTCATCGTTGCCTTCTCGCTTGTGCAAAATAGGCTGCCATTGATGAGAGCCTACCGCGTATTCCAAACAGCCATTGTTTTGGTCAGCGTCATCCAAGGCGATCCAAAGTGTTACGGAATTGTTGTCGTAGGGTGTGAATTGTTTGGATATATATGCCGAGTCCTGGTGAAAGCCTACCGTATCAATCCGACGACCTTGAGGAATATAGTCCAATTGTGTTGTAATGGGTTGTGGTGGCTTCCAGACAATGTCATCTTGTGCGATTCGAACCGAGTCCCATTGCATTACATCGGCAATGAATTTTCCCAGATTTTCGTTCAATACGACGGAAGCAATGGTTCTCGATGATTTCCAAGAGTTGCACATTTCTCGAGTGGCATCCGGTCGAGATATCCCAGCTCTCCAATGCCATTCGTCAGGATAGACATTGGTTTCAAACGTTCCGGCAAACAAATCAGGGAGAGTCTGAATCAAGACCTGGCGCATTTCATCAGAGAGAATCGGAATGAGGGTGGATAAAGAAACCTCGTCGCTGTTTTCATTGCCGCCTGTATTACTGGTGTATCCGTGAGTCTGAAGTCGTTCCTGAAGAGCTGTCATTTTGGATTCCGACTGGAGCATTTCATAAAACTCGTCCGAAAAGGCGGAAGAAACCTCTGACAATGACTTTTGCGACTCTAATGACATTTTCCTGGATGTTATATGCCATAGTTTCAATCGTTGGCCCCTTTGGAAAGGTAATAGCCTGATGAGACTACCACCACCGCGGAACATGCTAAAGGATATCAGAATCTATGACACAGCTGCGTAATATGATGCCAAAAATGCTGATGCCGAAATTGGAGATTTTCTGTAAACACACGTCACACTTCTTTTCATGCACTTTGAACCTCAGTCGCCGTTGCGGTCGGCATGCGATGCGCAGTGTGCAAACCGGCACGCTCCCTTTGGTACTTTGGCTTACCACCAATAATTTCGGATGTTGAACGCGCAGGCAGAGATTTCAGACGTTAGAAAGACAAATTTCAACAGATTTAGATTAGGTACTGTAGGCATGTGCTTCTGTCTCGAGACAACAATACAATGAAAGCAGGTGCAGACTGCTCTTATTTCACCATAATATCATTTCATCAACCACAATAAGCTAGCTCCTACACTAAGCCCTAAACAACAAACAATGATTCGTTCATCATCGTTCTTCCTGATATTACTCCTCGCGCCTCTCATCCAAGCTGACGATCAATACTATTACACATACTTTACACTTCAGGACGACGGCAATGTCACCTGCAGTGGGAACTACATTGAGTCGGCAACCTTGGAACTGGATTGCGAGAACGACTATTGTCCACTTGGGACGACCGTGACTCTAACGGGGGATGGTAAGTGAACAATTGGTAATTTGACCCCGTGAGCTGAAACGATGATTCATTCATTCATTGATTACTCATTTCATTTCTATTTTCTTCTTCATCCACTATTTCTTGGTTCAAACATTCATTCATTCACTCTATGTACCAACGTATAGTAACGGTAGGGAATAATGGCTTGCCAAGCGATTCAGCATCTATCGGATTGTCCATTTCGGGTTACTCCATTTCTAGCTGGGATGATATCAACATGTGCGAATATTTGAATGGAGGTGGTTGTCCCAATGCCGGAACCTACGGGATCGAAGATTATTCCCTCACGTTACCCGAACCCAGCGACAGTCTCAGCGCGGCTGGGAGTATGGGAATGACCATTTCGGTTGGAGCCGATATTACCTTTGACACTGGAGACACGGAGCAATGTACCTTCAAAATTGCATTGGTAAATCGAAACAATAGCTACTCCTACTCCTTGGGGTATCTAGGCATGGCGGGATTCATGATGTTTGGTGTTGCCACCACATTGGGAAGCAAACGACGAAAGGTCGCAACCATTCAACTAGATGGCGAGGAGAGAGAAGGAACGTACGATCATTTTGAATTGATGCCAAAACCACAAGGTGTCCAAGTATAAAATAAGGACAGCACTTTTGTGGCTTGACTAGCAGCGGAACACGCGCAGTCTTTGCGTCAAGCAACATAAGGGGCTAGCAGAAAATAATGCATGGGCACCTATTATAATGACGTTGCAGCTATACCATATGGTTCGACACTACATGTAAAACAAAACTTTCTCAAGTAATAAGCCTAACTGCATGGACGGAGCAACAGACATCTAATCAAAACACATCCAATTTCGATACGTCTTCTAACCGAGCACGAGAGAGTTCTCAGGATTATTGGCCTTTTCGGTATGATAGTAGTTTGCCATCTCGTCATATGCTTTTAGCAAACGATCCTGGGTGGCCACAAGCTCCGTCTTGTCGGCACCATCAGGCAAGGCAGCCACCAAATCCATAAGGCAGGCTGTACTCAAGTAGGCATTCTGCTTACGGTAGGTGGTGACTCCCCAAAGTTCATGCATGGTTTTAATGTCGTGAGGAATTCTGTATCAATTATCCATTGGGACATATTTTACAATTTGGATTCCGGTGAGTATACATTTCAGAATGTCACAGCCCAGGTATTATTAATATTCAGGAGCGTGTTCTTCTTGATTATGATGCTGACTTACCCTTGTGCCGAAGTGACACTGTATGGAAAAAAGTAGTACACCACTGGGAAACCGGCCCACAAGATACTGGAAATGCACATGCAGCAAGGCTCATGTGTGCTCAAGAAAATGCTAGATTGAGCCATTGGTCCTCGTTCGGCGGGAGGTGTCGCCTTGGACCACTGATAGATACAATGCACTTCACCATGAAAGATTGGGCAATCAGTTTCAGCATTTGTTTCACAGAACTTGCATTGAAGTTCTGGAGAGAGAATGGCGGCCCCAAAGACTTTGTTTCCTTCCTTCACTCCCTTGCGTGTTTTGGGCAAGACTTCGTCCTCAATGACTTTGTACATTTGTCGAATTTCATCTGCAGTTGGAGTCAAGACTGCCTTTTGATTGGGTTCATCGATTACAACTTTATCGTCACTCATGATGGTTCTCTTCTTATGTTGCTTTTCTTATTCCTAATGTTTGATGATGACTGCGGCTCTTGGATGTTGTACGTACTGCCGTTTCTAATTTAGTAATAAAAAGTTCTGTTTCGTCAACGGAAGATACACAAGATATGCGAAGAGAGATGAGAAAATTCTGATGGTGTCACCAAAACCCGCGCCAGTCTGGCCTTATTACTGGTCGAATGAATCAATCATTCCAACAATGCTAATATATTATATCATACTGGTATCCGCCAGAAGAAGATACTTTGTACCATACCAAATGGTACGGTAGTTTGTGCCAGAGATTGGAAAAGCTGAGAGACAGTGCTAGACCAGTTTATCTGGGCAAAAGGAGAAACAATAACGGGAATCCGTCGCTGGTCGTCTCACGCCACATGAAACGAGGATGGAGGAGCAGATACACCAATCGTCAACTCGTCATCATCGTTGAAAGAGTCAGCCAGGAGTCAGCCATTCTAGTCCAATCGGAGAGTAGAGAATGATTCAGTGCCAGCGTTGTTGTGGTACGTTGGTACAAGTACACGACCAAATCCATCGGAAGTGTCCCGCAATTTCCCGGACCTGTACTATCATTATTTTCGGGGAATCCTTGAATGAATCAATCATTCGCCAGTCATTATTCCATGGTCTTTTCTATTTTATCGCGTGTTTGTTTCTGATTTTCTATTTATCTTGCGTGTTCTAAACTTTCTGTCGAACCAATTCATTTTGTTTACGTCTCCTTTGGCAAAAATAATAATCATAATGTCTCCGTCACATCTATTGAATAATTGAATTTCACGAACACAGGAAGTGCCTCACAAGTTTTCCTCCTTTGCACGAACCTTCATCGTTGCCTCCACCACGTTTCATAATGCACTGCAATTGTACCCCAGAAACCAAAGCCAGCATGTCAAAGGGACAATCTCCAACAGCGACGGAGCCAGTCTTCGATGATGCTCTTACTTTGCTAGGTAGGGCACTTGACATTATCGATGGCAACAAGATGAATGGAAAAGAAGCGGAGACACGGATTAGCGGCAGTACTGCTCTGAATTCTGGCACTCCGTCTTCAGAGGCACCCAGTGGTCCAACGGAGTACGGCAGATAATTGACAAAGGCGGCGAAAAGTTGAGTATCTGTGATTGCAAGTCAGCCAAGAGCGATGATATTGCCTGCTGCTGCTGTTTCGGAAGCAACGATTGCAACCAACGAGTCACCAATTGCAATGATCTTTCAATCCAAACTAGTACCAAGACGCTGAGGAAGATTGTCCATTACAGTTTGGGCGCCACTCGTGTTAGTGACACATAGCAAGTTAAAAGAAATAGAGAATGCAATTCTCAATCAATCCTTCCCTGTCTTCGATTGCACTACTGTGCGACTGCTAAACAAATTCGATGTTCTCGGATCTCCAAGGCCGCCGGGGATCAACGCGGACACGGCTTTTGGGAAAGATATCATTGTTGCTCCCTCGAGATGACTTAATAAGGAAGTGTTTTTCATCGGCCCTCTAGGATTGTTGCTCCCACGAGACGAAGGTGATACAGTTTATAGCTATGAACGGCTTGGATTCAGATATAGTATTATACAAACTTGTATAATTCTATGCTTCCCCAATCTCCAGTTTCTTCATCTTGTGCGAGAGCTCATTTTGTTGCTCCAGATCAGATTGTCGATCATCAGCATCAGCATCAGTATCAGCATCGTGATGACGATCGTGCCGCTTGCGGACCCAGTACACAAACGGAACCACCCACACTATCCCGCTAATTGGGATAACAAAAAAGGCAAAGATCATTGCGCCTGTTGCTACTGTCATGTAAAGATCTGGTTTCAGTCCTTCAGCCTCCATTGCCTCTGGTGTACGAAGTCTCAAGAGTGCAAAATCTGCCTTGGATAGAAAACGTAGGCGAGGTCCCCAACCGAACATACCTTCGGAAACAAAAAGGTAGGATGGTCCATGTGAAGACCCAGCATCAAATTCGGCAAGGCCTGAAATGGCATCGTATCCAAATAAAAAGACGTGCTGTGGCCAGATTTGCCCGCCATGGGTGTGACCGCTGAGCTGAAGCCCAACTCCGTTTCGAGCTGCTTCTTGCATATTCACTGGCTGATGTTGCATCATGATCATTGGAAGCGAAAACGACAGGGGCTCATCATTCAAGATTGTCGTGCCATTTGGTCCTGGCGTGGCACGAATTGCCCGTTGAAAGTCTGGAGCTACCTGTCCGTCATGATGATACATGGCTCGGTGTCCACTCCAATCTGCCATTCCAACAAGAGCAATGGAGCATCCTTCAGTGTCTCCCTTTGTCAATATGGCATGTTCATTCTCAAGGACAGTAATAGCCTCAGCAAGTGGGGATTCTTGACGAAAGACTTGGCGGAATCCTACCAGCATGATTAAAAAACGTGTTAGACAATGATGGTGGAACAAAATCGCAGATTGCGCAAGACATACTTACCTTTAATGTCTTGTTGGTTTTCATGATTCCCAAAGCTCATATACACTCCATCACGGGCTCGCAAACTTGCCAACGGTCTCAGTTTCTGCCGAACCGCATCGTTGACAGATTGGTCGCCAATATCACCAACCAACGCGACAGCATCTGGATCGAGGGCATTGATTTGGTCAACCGCCCACTGAGCTTCCTTGGCAGCGACCATCGACCCGATATGAATGTCGGAAGCCATGGCCAGTCGATATCCGTCGCACTGATCTGGAAGTTTTGGGACTGGAATGTCGAGCTCAAGCTTGTTCGGACTGTGAGCTGCATCGTATGATAGGTATGTCCACACCCCATAGAGTGAAAGTATAAGCCATGATCTCCATTTAGCACCATGTCTCTTCGTTGTGTGGAGGTGATTTGGAGAATTGTCATCTTCAGCAAGATCATCTCCGTGACTAATGCCGTGGGTTGCAGAGTCGTCGTCTAAGGATGTGTCCATAATATCTATACCTCGATCATTCTCATAGCGTTGTCTAAACCACCAGGCTTGGGCTGCCCCCTTATTGCCCTGGATTTTGTCAACCAGAAGAAAGAGATAGCACAAGTACAAACCATCCACAGCCCATACAGCACATATCAGAATAAGCAAGCTTCCAAATCCATTGTATGTAATGATGAGATATATGCTTGGCTCATACATATCGTATGCTGCCGTTCCGGAGATAGCAGCCCCTGTACCTATTAGCACCAAGAAAGTCCAGAAAACGAGAGTAGGAACTGTTCGTTGTGGCTCCGGCGGGAACGTTGTAAAGGACTCCCAGCTGACGCTTACAAGACTGTCACTAGCAATGGTATGACATGGGGCATGAGATAAATGAGGAAGATCATTACAAGACAGTTGTTTTCGCCCAAGACTCACAGCGCATACACATACCTTTGTGAAAGAAAGGGGTCTCGACAGAGACGGAGCCAGACATATCTCAGTAGGACGTATACAATGGGCAACCCGAAGAACCAAGAGAGACCAAACGATAAACCATCATCCTTGGAAGTCAGCGAGCCTGTAAGGCCAGCTGTAGTGAACATAGCTGCTGCAATCTCGTTTCGATGACGTGCTATGGTCCTTTTCCATGAGGCATCCTTCGAGGATTCTTGAATTGGGCCATCAATGGTATCCGTGCGAGCCAATTCGTCGTCACCAGATGACATCATTTGTTTAGATGCGTTTGGGTATAATTGAAATGATGTCCTCTGAAGTTGATGTTATTATTGTCACGTTTGATTTTACGCTTCTCTTTTTTTTATAATAGTACAATATTACTATTTTGAAGGCGATGCGAGTGCCAAGCGTTGTTGTGAGATTATTGAGACGTGTCAAGTGATCCACAAGGCATCATGACATGGGAACTCAATGGAAATCTTCCCTTGAAGATGAGAATAAGACATCTCTTGGTTGATTGACTGTGATGTGGGAATAATCACAATAATAATACAATAATTGATGGCAAATAATAGTTCCGCGACTTTCGATTTGAGGCTTCCCGCACCGACGGACAGGCATGAAGGATTTCCGTGGAATAACCCGACTAGTAATGCATGTGAGATGTGAGATGTGATGAGGCTCCGCTACAGAGCTCCAGTGACTATACATACAGTACCTGCCAATGAACAACCCGACTATCACAACGCAGACGAGGCTCTGCTTCAAAATATAGAACATATGTTCAGTGGCTACCCTTATATTGCTAAGGAACAACACGACTTCTTGTAAAATAACAAAGAAGCTGGTGCTTCGGCAGCGGAAGAACAACATAGAACAGACCTCGAGTGGTAGAAAGCAAAGACTCGTTTATGGCTACAGGTTCAAGGCCGATGAAAATTTCCTTGGCTGCTCCAGCTGACGGTCTTGATTTTTTTCACCCGCCGCTCGAGCCTCCAAGAATAAGGCTCCGACCTCAGGGTAGTACCAGGTAGTACCCTCAGCCACAAGCCTCCCTCACGTTTTCCTGCTACCGGTACCTGGTACCATAGCATCGGAGTACAATTGATTGATCGATTGATTGATTGGTTAGATAATTGATACCACGAGCCGTTCACAAGTAGCAAAAACGTCAGTACATATATCATAGTGTTCATACTGTATGGAACTGTTTCTTGGGGTCTGTTTTATTTAATGATTTTCACATATCATCATATTATATATAACGATAGACAACGTTCAGAACTTTGAGATGAAACGGTTTCTTAGGATGCCTTTGATTTAACGATTTCCTCACTGGAGCTCTTGATTAAAATATATGCGACTAACATTCTATTTATTGATTCGGTATCCCGTTGCCAATCACCGATTTTCACAAGTCACAAATGAACCAAGCGCACTCTTTTGCTCTTCACAAAATTTGCCCTTTCAGTTTTTTATAGAACAACAACAACAAACTAAAGATGCCCTGCGGTAACACTTTCAGTGCTTCTGGCACACCAAACTACAAGCTATCGCCATTTCCATTGCTAACACGAAGACGCAGAACTTCAATCGAAGCGATCCAGAAGGCACTTGCCATTGTTGATGACAAAAACTTCGTCGACGGCCATAATCGCAACAGTCATGGCTACCACAATGACGATTCCAATGACCTTGGCAGTGGTCCAGTGGGGAAAGAATGAGCAACAACAACGTAAACAGCCAACTTGAAGCATTCGAACCAGGCTCCCAAATATCAGGCGTCTGCTGTGACTGTTATTCCAACCTTTTGGTACAATCTTTAATGGAATAATGATAAAATAGGGAATGCTGCTAGGAATAATAGGATGCATGATGTAGCCTTGCTTTTGGACCCACCTCCTCCTCCACACCCATCTGCTCTTGCCGCTGTTTGCAACTTTCCTCTGGAAATCTTCGAAGGCATTATGCAAACAGTTGTTTCACTGTTTCATTCCTGCCGGCATTACCGTCCTTGCTCATACATGGGTGCGTGTTTCGCGAAGTAGTAGAAGGATCCCACAAAACGAAGGAAGTTGCTCCCCACGTTTTTCTTTTATGCGCTAGCACATATGATCAGAAATCGGGACGTGTATACGTCATCGATGTCACAACTTACAAATCATCCGTTGGCTCATCATAAAATTTGCAGTTTTCAAGTTCACACATAATATTAAAATCAACTTGAAGCGACAACAAACGAAGAAGAGTAAGATGCCCTGTGGTAATAACTCTTTCAATGGCTCTAGCACAACGAACTACAGACTACCACCATTTCCATTTCTACCGCAAAGACCAAGAACTTCAATCGCTGTGGTCCAGAAGGCACTTGCCATTGTGAATAATGACTCTGCTGATGACCACAATCATTACGATGTTCATGGTTCCGGCAACAATGGTAATAGTGACAACAATGACGATTCCAATGATCTTGGTTGTGGTGGAATTAGGAAAGAATGAGCCCACGATGCAAACGGCCAGTTGATTGCGCTTGCTTGATTCATTCGAAACAGGCACCTTGATTCCAGCAGTCAGTTGTGACTGTGGCTCTATTTTGTGTTCATCTCTAAATCAAATAATTGTACACTAGGGAATGATAAGAACAATTAATTTCTAAAAAAAAACAGCGATACATGATGTAGTCTTGCTGTTGGAGCCAGCACCACACCGTCACCAGCTGTTGTCGCTGCTTGCAAATATCCTCTCATCGTCAAAATTCATTGCAGAGCACAAACTCGTTTGTTCTTGTTTCATTCCGTTGAGAAACATTTCAGATGACCCGAAGAATGAATTCCAAACAACAAATATGCGTTTGCCAAGTAGCGCTCAACGTTTCTTATATATATATCTGGAAGCACCCGATCGGAAATAATCGGAGATACATGACTGATGGATGTTAAAAATGATACATCACTATTTTAATACCGCATGCATTGTATCACAAAGTCAGAAACCGATCGGAACTTTGAACTTGTACTCTTTCGCGCCTTCTTGAATTAATTAATGGTCCTCTCACTGGAGCGCCTCAGCGAATTCGAAAATTCACTGTCTGCTAGACATTTTGTCGCACGCATTCGTATTGCTTCAATTATCCATCACCAATTTCCCAATTCCCAATCACCACAAAATTGTATGTTCCAAGTTTAAAAATCAACAACAAGCAAAATATGACCTGTGGCAACGCTTTCAATGGCTCTAGCAAACCAACTGCAGACTACCACCATTTCCATTGCTATCACGAAGACCCAGAGGAGCTTCAATCGATGTGATCCATAAGGCACTTGCCATCGTGAAGAACTCCGACGACCATAATCCCAAGATTCATGATTCCGCCAACGAAGACGACAGTTACCCCAACGACGATTCCAACGATCTTGGTGGTGGTCCAATCGAGAAATGATGAGGCTAAACAGGCAGCTTGAATCATTTGGAAGAGACGCGGGTCATTTTGATTTATTGTTTGCATCTCTAATCAAATAATGATAAACTAGGGAATGCTAGGAGCAATGATCTATAACAACGATACATCATGTAGTCTTTCTCTTGGAGCCACCAAACCATCATGGAATGTTGCAGCTTCTTGCATCTCTTTTCTATAGGTCTTGAAAACAGACAGCCGTTTCACTGTACCGCTCCCATTAGATATATCGCACATGAATACGTGTTCTGCAAAAGTCGAGAGATCCCATAGATTGCAGGAATGTGATCAGAAAACATATGTTGTCACTCTATACCAATTTTGATTTTGTCTTCACTCTATATACCAACCGGGGCAACGGAATTGTTTTGGATCACACACAAATGGAGACATGGATAAGAAGCAGAGTAGCGCGCTGCTTTTTTAAGCTCTGAACAGATTCTGTCTGTACTTGGCGCCATCATTATTACGGGAAGAAGCATGCATGTCAGCTTTCCATAGAAAGCCAAGATTTGTTGATGATTGGTCAAGAAGTAGGCCTACAGGTTTGGCGTTGTCTGTCCCAGTTGGCGGCAACATGCAGTACTGTACCAGAGCAGAGTTCTGATTGCTGATTCTCAACGGTTCTTCAGCCGTTGCGAGCTTGTGGCCGTGCTTTGGATATCCTCCCATTGCTATTTCGACTCTTTTGTCTGCCCACATTAGAACTAAGATTGACAGACCTTCTTTTCTCGGCACTGATGCGATCAGATGTTGGTCTTTGTGACTTGGTGCGAATCCGAAACGAGTCCCTCCCCTTTGCACTTTTGCGGCTGGGGGATTTCGTCTCGGATGGAGCCCTATTGCTTCCATAATTATTGCATATTTTTCGAATCGACGGCCGCTCATGGATGTTGGCATGACCGATGGAATGCCGTCGCCAGAACTTGTCGAATTCCCATTTGGTCAAAAAGGTAGGAAAATCGACCGGTGCGACATCAAACATCGACGAGCATATTACGATCCCAATGACCAAAAACATCAAGTAAACTAAAATTGAACACTACGGTTGTGTCAACTCTTCGAAATGCCGATCCCATGTGAGAGTCTGATAAAATGGAGACACATATGATTATCTAAAGTAAGACATCGTATTCCTTAAAAATTTCAGTATCGATATTTGCTTCATTGTGCCGGCACCGGAAGATATCGGTGCAACAGGGTACAATTGCGTCGACGTCTGATCAACGAATTGGTTGAGGAATGAGGTCTGAAATATGAAATTGGATTTTAAGAAGCGCTTCCTTAAACCACAAGTTTCGACTGCTTTTCATTCATTCAGCCTGACTGATTCATTCAGACCATCATGCATGGCGCGGAACGTGGTGTGAGAATCATGAGAATTCGAGAACACATTATTACTCTTGTCGAGCTTCAGAGACTATTCCTTTCTACCGGTACGGTGGTACATATGGAAACAAAAATGGAAGGGAACTAGCTCTTGGATCAGTGGTTGTGCGGAAGTGCTGTTATCTATCCGCGTACCCATACCGGGTACAGTATTGGCAATCTTCACTAATAAGCTTGTAATGTCCTTTTTATGTGTTTGTTCCTCCTTCGAGCTTCCGGGAACCAAGGAGTCGACTTCCGCCACCAAAAATCAGATGCTACACGTGCGTGTGGACCTAAAAAAGTAGATGCATGAGATGGTATATTAATTGTAACCTTATATAACGCTACCGCCATACCGGTACCGGTGTGTAAACTGATTCAGAAAAATTGCGTGGCGAAACTAGGACATACGTCTTCTTCACAAAATAAGCAAGCACAAATCCAAAGAAGGCATAAAATAGGTATTTGTCGATGTTTGAAATGGCTATCACAGATCTTATGTCAATGCGCTTTTCAAAGTCTTTTGAGCCACTCGAAATTTCACTATCATCTCCAGTAGTGAAAGGACAACGACCTCTATTTTCCTCTTTTTCTAACGACCTTGCTCAGTCGTATTCCTTCTGCGATCCCTTTGTCGATCCAGACATGGAACCTCGTCCATTGGGTCCCAGGATCGGGAGCGGCAATCGTTGCAACCATGCATCACCATGCGTGGAGCCATTGCATGTTCTGTCACTTGCATCCCTCATGATATTGGATCAATCGAATGTGGATATTAAACCGGCTTCTAGCGCCAAGCAACAAGAAGACCCCATTCAGATGTTGCACACCGTACTGGACCCTACAGTGGAACTTCCGACAACGGTGAGCTGTTCTTCAACCAAGCTACTGCTGGATTCCCAGCACGGAGAGGACCCAATGCAATGGAGGAACGGACGGAAGAAGAAGGTCGAAACTTCCAATGACCAAAGCGTTGGTCGCTTCAGACCATACCAAGATGACCTATGGGGAATTCAATTCAAGAAACTTATTGAATTCAAGCTGGAAAATGGACACAGTAGCGTTCCTCACAACTATCGTGAAGATCGTGGTCTTGCTAGATGGGTCAAGAGACAACGATACCAGTACAAGCAACTGAAGCACAATAACCCAGCTTCTACCATGACAGCTTGTCGCATTAAAGAGCTTGAAGCAATTGGCTTTGTGTGGGACTCTCGTGCTGCTGCATGGCTGGATAAGCTAAACGACCTCAAGGCTTTCAAGGAAAGAACAGGTCATTGCAACGTCCCATGCCACTATCCCGAGGATGAACAACTATCTACATGGGTCAAATGTCAAAGACGCCTATACAAGTCATATATATTTCGCGAGGCTCACGAAGGACTCCTGTCAAGCGATTCCAAATGTTGGAAAGCCTTGGCTTTGTATTTGATACTCGATCCAAGGGTGCACAGAAAAAATCCTCCTACTCATCGTGTCTCATATAAAATACCATACTTCAATGCTATCTAGATTTGCGGTTGATTCTGAAGATTGCACATGTCGAGATGAATACTGTTGCAAACAAGCTTTCTACCATTCGCATGTATAGTTAAAATCCATCTGATCAAAAGCAAAAATCTGTACAAATATGCTATCTCTCAGTAAAACATCATGGATACTTCGCATGTTCGACAAAATTCAGGCCAGGGTCGCCGTTTGGGTTTAGATCAGTTTATCAAGTACCTGCGAGATACGCAACAAATAAGATCGTGCCGATCCATCGACTTGCGACGTCAAACGGAGATTTCAACTGCCAATCGGCATTATCGTACGGTAGTGTACACTATACAGGTAGTATGTACGTGCTTATAATAAGCGATCCAATGCCGCCTTCACATCCGTCAACAAAACAAAAATAATATTTTTCTGAGGGCGAAGAGAAGCTGCAACGATATTTTCTCTTCCGGATTTCTTTATCTATTTTTATCGAAATCCCTATCTCTGTTTCTTTACTGTGGCGAAGGGGGATTGTGTATTCGCCCCTCAACCCCCCCTTCTGATTGGTTAAAATCATTCCTATCGAATACCATACCGGTATGTCAAATATGGAAACCGTAATCTGTCCCTTGCATAAGTCATGCGAAGATCACACTATGGTTCGCTTGGGATGAAGACTAGAAGCCACCACACTCACGGCCATTCATATTGGGCATGTCTGAGAACCTATTGCCATCTGAACCAAAAGCATCGTCAACGGCGACAAAAGCAGCGTTATTAGTCACCTCGAAACCGATTTGATGCAACAGCGCTGGTTAAAAAGTCAAGGACGTACCTAAACAAAGGTCAATGCTGCTCGTGTTGAGGAGCGGAAGGGTTCCTGTCAAGAGATTAAAGCCGACATCAATGAATCTGAGCGAAGGCGAGAGAAACAACTCTGTGGGCAGCTTGCCTGAGAGCTCATTTGAACCTGATTATAAGAATAAGGCGCATGATATGAGCCAACGCGAGAATGTGCAGAAACCCTCCTTATAGTGAAAACATCATCCAAGCCTTTGACTTACGCAGATTCAAGAAGGCAAGCCGTGGCAACAGACCAAGCTCTGTTGGGAGACTACCACTGAGATTGTTTTCATCTTCAGTGCACAGGTGAGAGCAAATAGATGAGAAATATTCACAGACAAATGCATAGCGCGTCAGTTGTCACTTCACACGTACTCAACGAAAGAAGATCGAGAGATTTCATGGAACCAACCGATGTTGGAATTGTTCCCGTCAGTGCTAAAGTTGCTGCGAATGTGATGACATTGCACGGAAAAAGTGCTGTGAGGGAAACATGATGTGTAAACTGTTTCGAATCTGATATAGTGTACGTACAAAGGTCTAGAACCTGAAGCTGTGTCCAGTTCCAAAAGTCTAAGAGAGTACCGGTGAAACTATTGTCCTGCAAGTTCAAATTTTCAACACTTGTCCATTGTTCCATTTGCGTTGGAAGAGTTCCGCGAAAATTGTTTTCGACTGCAGACAACAAGCAGATTGATGAGTCGTCAGACGAATGTATAAATAAACCTTTAGATATCTGCCTCCACCGCAGTATTTGTGACTTACACAAGGAGAGTCTGCGGAGTGATGACCAGTTCCCAATTTCGGAAGGTAATTCTCCTGTCAGGACGTTCTGATCTTTGGTTTTCAAGCGAGGGGAATGTACGGTCAGTACCACTATCTCGATACTATTCGGCATTCGACAACATATAGCATGACCTACTTATTTGAAAAATTTCCAAATTTACCAAGGCCCCAAGCTCAGTTGGCAGAGTTCCTGTCAAATCGTTGCCGGACATGTTCATCGTTGTCAAGTGAGATAATAGGCCAACTGAATTCGGTATGGTCCCTCGCAGATTATTCCCGTCTATCAAGATAATGCCATCGCAGTCAATGAATTGGATGTTGCTCAGAAAAAGAATTGCGCGGCGCAGTACTTACAAAAGTCGATTCGTTCCAGCATGGACAATGCCTTGATCGCGGATGGGATGGTTCCTAACATTTTTCCTTCACGTATGATCAAGCTTCGAATCTTGCCATCCTCCTCAATGCAACGAGTTTCAATTTTTTCGTTACTATCAAAGTCGTCATCGTAATCATTGCCATCCCATTCGCACACTGATAAGCTTGGAGACAACCAATTTCGTCGATCGGACCATAAATCCTCTCCTCTCGTCGCGAAGTACAAAGCTGCCATAAAATATCGTTCTCTCCACAATCCTTGTGGATCCGTTGCACCTGGTGGCGGAATCCATATATCACTGTAGACGAGCCACTCAAAGGCTTGGGGGTCAATTGTTGCCAGATATTCCTCGTGCTCAAACATGAGGCTAGCTTCAATGATTCCTTGGCGAGTAGTGGTTGGCAATCCAGTGGGTTCACTACTTGCTGGGATCATCGTCATCCTTGACGGCATGTTTGTTGGAAGACCGGTATTGGGACCTTGATTATCATTGGTGGCCGATGGTGATGACGCCACAATTCCTCCAGTGATACCGGCAACCATGATGGTGAAGAGCACCAAACCAATTATGAGCAACAATTTATTGCGGTTGGTCCATTGAAATCCACGACCACTTTCATTTTTGTTACTGATGTTTTCTCCTCCAGCAGTATCATTATCCCCATTACCATCATCATTGGTCGCTGTCCCAACTGCCACTGCCATGATGATCTGATTGTTGTTGCTGTTTGTATTTCGTTGTTCTTCCTGTTGTCGCAGCGCTTGCAATCTCTCTTGAACAAGCTCTTCCACATCGGGTGCAATTTCAGCATGAACCATGTTGTTGGTAGTGGTAGGACTGGTAGAACGGTCATTGTTTGCATCCGAAATTATAGTGCGATTTTCTCCAGCATTGCCATCATGTCCATCTCCGATTCCTTCAACAGCAAAGGCCCCTGTATTCGATGGCCCTTCTTTGGAAGACGACGAATCTGCTGGTGCAGTGTTATGATTTCGACCATCACCTTCATTTAGCTTCTGTTGCCGTCCCAGAATGGCAGATGCAATGGTTTGCGGCGTCGTACGTGCAGCCGTGTCGCCATGATTGACATCAGCAAGACCATTATCAACACTATTAATGGTAGTTTGTTGCTCATTCTTGTTGTCGTCAGCTCCGCCACGTGAAGCTCTCATTGCAGGTAGTTGTGGTAGTTGTGGTAATTGTGGCAGCTGTGGCCCGTCCTCAGAGGATAGCAATCCATGCATATTTGCGTCATCTTCATTATTCATCGCTCTCTCGTTGCGAGAGACATACTGAATACAATAAATATATCAGGAATGACAGTAACCAATGGGGGGGAATAGCAAGGGGGGATTACGCCCTTCGCCAGAGTAAAGATCTCGAAAAGGATTTCGATACAGTACCAGGAACACCCGGCAAATGACGAAAATCCGTACCGCGCGGGGTCGACTGTGGGAATTCTGATGTCTTTCGATGGGCGATCGCTGCCTTAAATATATTTCAGTTTTTAAACAATATCATTTTCACAGAACAACTTTATTTTTGATCTTTTCTGATCCTAATTCTGTAAATAACAAAGGGTCATTTGATGGTCGCAGGGTCATTAAGAAACTTCGAATTCCAAATCATATCAATAGACGGAATCCTGAAGTTGGGAGATCCTTGAGTTATAACTCACACGTTTGAGTTATAACTCAAACGTGTGAGTTATAACTCAAACGTGTGAGTTATAACTCAAACGTGTGAGTTTTTACTCAAACGTGTGAGTTATAACTCAAACGTGTGAGTTATAACTCAAACGTGTGAGTTATAACTCAAACGTGTGAGTTTTTACTCAAACGTGTGAGTTTTTACTCAAACGTGTGAGATTTTACTCAAACGTGCGAGCTTCCCCCTTTCCAAAACCGTTGCTGGAAATTCGAGCTGGCGGACCAACGACTACTTTCACCAAAAGATACAGTCCTGTACTTTTCCAGATCCAAACCCTATAAAAGAACTTGTCACGCAACATCATTGGGACAAAAACGAGTTCTACGGCGAGGCAGGAGGTGAAAGGAGAGAGACTTTCAGCCGCTTCCTCACCGACAAGGTCAGAAGAAAGGGTTTTGGTTGGAAAGAATTCGTTGATTTGCTGGATGAACGGGAAGTTGAGTAACTCACACGTTTGAGTTATAACTCACACGTTTGAGTTATAACTCAGACGTACTCACACGTTTGAGTTATAACTCAACGCCGTGAGTTATAACTCAGGATTCCGTTGTGATCTGAGTTATAACTCAGAAAAAGTCACAATGACCAATCGGTCATCTGTGTCCATAAGTCCCTATTTGATAAATCATCACATAATAATATGTCATTAATAGTTAAAGGGAAATAATATAGATTTTTCGAAGCTAAAAATATAATTTTATATCTCCGGGCACGAGCACGTCAAACTTTGCGATCAGTGTCCCGAAAATACTCGGTCTGAACATTTGCCGGGTGTTCCTGATCCTAATTCTGTAAATAACAAAGGGTCATTTGATGGTCGCAGGGTCATTAAGAAACTTCGAATTCCAAATCATATCAATAGACGGAATCCTGAAGTTGGGAGATCCTTGAGTTATAACTCACACGTTTGAGTTATAACTCAAACGTGTGAGTTATAACTCAAACGTGTGAGTTTTTACTCAAACGTGTGAGTTATAACTCAAACGTGTGAGTTATAACTCAAACGTGTGAGTTATAACTCAAACGTGTGAGTTTTTACTCAAACGTGTGAGTTTTTACTCAAACGTGTGAGATTTTACTCCCTTTCCAAAACCGTTGCTGGAAATTCGAGCTGGCGGACCAACGACTACTTTCACCAAAAGATACAGTCCTGTACTTTTCCAGATCCAAACCCTATAAAAGAACTTGTCACGCAACATCATTGGGACAAAAACGAGTTCTACGGCGAGGCAGGAGGTGAAAGGAGAGAGACTTTCAGCCGCTTCCTCACCGACAAGGTCAGAAGAAAGGGTTTTGGTTGGAAAGAATTCGTTGATTTGCTGGATGAACGGGAAGTTGAGTAACTCACACGTTTGAGTTATAACTCACACGTTTGAGTTATAACTCAGACGTACTCACACGTTTGAGTTATAACTCAACGCCGTGAGTTATAACTCAGGATTCCGTTGTGATCTGAGTTATAACTCAGAAAAAGTCACAATGACCAATCGGTCATCTGTGTCCATAAGTCCCTATTTGATAAATCATCACATAATAATATGTCATTAATAGTTAAAGGGAAAAATATAATTTTATATCTCCGGGCACGAGCACGTCAAACTTTGCGATCAGTGTCCCGAAAATACTCGGTCTGAACATTTGCCGGGTGTTCCAGTACTGTAGAACTCCGGACAAGAGAAAATATCGTTGCAGCTATTATTCTCTTCCCCCCTCAGAAAAATATTGTTTTTGTTTTGTTGACGGATGTGAAAGCGGCATGGGATGTGGCTCAACAGCACGTACCAGGTACAGTACTGCCTATTGTGTACCGGTAGGTGTACGCTACCGGACGATGATGCCAAGCAGTTGAAATATCCCATTTGACGTCGCAAATCGGTGGATCGGCACAGTCGATCTTATTTGTTGCATATCTTGGAGGTGCTTCAACTGTAGAGGAGGAGAAAGTATTAAAATAGCATATACTAGTACAATTACTTGATTCATAATTTGTTATGACGCTCTTCTTCTAGCGACTGGTACTTATCCTACCGGCCAAATTTTTTTAAATATGGTTTGTTGTTGTGAGTCTGTGCTGTGAGCTCATCGAGTTTCTCATGTCACGCGGACAAAGGCGGATGCCATACAAAACCAATAGCTTCGAGTTCTTGGATGCGACGAGTCGAAAAAGTCGTAGTGTCATCGAGCTTGTTGTTGACCTTCTTGTTGTATTGGTATCTCTGTCTCTTGACCCATCTAGCGAGAGTGGAATCCCTTGAATAAGAGTGAGGAACGCAACAGTGTCCATGTCGAAGCTTGAATTGTTCAAGCTTTTGGAAGTGAGCTTGCCATTGCTTCTCTTGGAACAGGCGAATGCCAGCTTTTTTCTCTTCCTCTTCTTCTACAGTATCCTCGGATTGGTCTTCTCGTCGAAGGTTGGTGTTCTCTGGCTGTTTCGGTACCAGTAGTAGTTCCAGCATGAAAGAGGAGAGAACGAAATCATGTTGTCGCTGTGCTGGTCTGCTCCTCATGGGCAAAGGTTCCATGTTGTTTGGGTCATCGTCAAAAGACATGGGCAACAGATGGTGAGAAGGAGGCGTACTCCGTATTTGCATGTAGTTGTAGCTATCCTCTAGAATCTTGTCGATGTCGGCAGTAGTGATCATTGTGGGAACCACTTCGCGGAATAATTTGTGAGCCATACCGGTACAAGTCCCCAATGAGTAATTTTTCCGACGATGCGCTAATTTTTTATCCCATTTTTGGCTTTTATTCTGATCGAGAGAATAGTAAAAGTTGAATCGACACGCTTTTAAAACTATCACGGAATGGGTCAGCAACAAAGTTTATTGGTGGTTTTGTTATTTGTATTTGGACTGGACGGAACACCGATAAGAAGGCACAATTATCCAACGCGAAGCAGAATCATTTTGGAGCTTCTCTTTTTCGAGCTCCTTCACAACTATCAGTACCGGAGTGTACACGTACCTATACCGGTACAGTAAACTGTGCTTGTTCGATTGCCGAATTTTGAAGTGCTGACGAAATCGTATCACTCAAGGATTTGCCTGCATGGAACCAAACTCGATCCCCCCTAATGCCCAAAGCAGGTGTAATGATTATGAAAATTGAAATGTGATGGTGCATACTATAGGACTGGTAAGTGAATAAATTAGTTGACTAGCTAGTATTAATATTAATAGTTATTATTGATAATACTGGATACTTCTCGATACGCATCTACTATATCCAAACCCACTCGTCTAGTTGACACCAGTTGCGGTTCAAACACAAAGCCCAAGGATTCCAACGCTTGTAAGCGATCTATCGTCATACTAGAAGAACCAGCGCTGAACAGTTTATACTGGCGACGTTGGCACTTGACCCAACTGGACAATGCACGATTCTCGGGATAGTCCGATGGAACATTGCAGTGACCCGTTTTTTGCTGGTAGGCTTTGAGCTCATTGAACTTTTCTAGCCACGCAGAAGCATGCGAGTGCCACACAAAGCCAATCGATTCGAGCTCTTGGATGCGAGCAGTAGTGATGGTGGATGAGGGATTACCATCCTTGAACTTCTTGTATTGGTATCTTTGTCGCTTGACCCATCGCGCAAGCATAGGATCTTCTTTGTAGGAATGAGGAACGCAACAGTGTCCGTGCTTCATCTTGTATTGGATGAGCCTTTGGAACTGAGCTCTCCATTGCTTGTCTTGGTAAGGGCGAAAGCGGGCTGTGCTTTCTTCTTTGTCAGCAGTCACGGCGTTCATAGGACGGCTGCGCTTGTCGTTGTAAAAAGAGACGAAATCTTGCAAGCTTCTTTTGGAGTCAATAGCACTATCAGTAGAGGGGGTGGGATCAACGGCGGGACCAAGACTGCTTAGTAGGTCGTCAGCATCGGATTTGTTTGGGAGTTCCATGATGGAAGAGAGTAGGCAATCGTCTCCCAAGAAGGTCGAATCATACAGTGATTGCATCTGAGGCAAATTGCGTGTGCTTGGACCTTCTTGTTGTGACCGGAGAGGCGAAGGTTCCATGTTTGGATCATCAAAGGGATTCACAAAGGAAGAAGGGAAACGAAGGTGAGATGACGAAGCCGCCCTCCGTGGACCCAATGACAGCAACGGGCCTCTCAGAAGCGATAGTACGCTATCATCTGCGGCATTGGAATAGCTTCGGCTTCCCAGTGGGAGCTTCTTATCGTTGTTGGCACTGTAAGTGGTAGAGTTCATGATGAACAGCATGAAATATTCTGCGTGGACGACGAGGCAATTGTGAGATGCGAACGATGTTTACGCACCTTCACGCAGATTCCAGTGTTCCATGTACGATTGCATCTCTGATCAGAAGACGTTAAGTGTCGAAAATTGAAGATTTAGGCCCAAAATAAGTTGATCCCATCTGGAAGACCATTTCCCGTCACCATTCACTATTGACAGGAGGGGTTTTTGTACTACCATAAGCGCACTATCGTACCCTCTTGTTATGTTTTTCACCGTACCGGTATCATTCATTCATTCTACGGAATTTTGTTCAATCGTTATATAGAGAAGGATTTCGAAAGAAATAGATTATAAAGAAGGCGGCATGGGATCTCGAACTTGAAGGAGGCTAAAAAAAGCACGTACAATACTATCTACATATAGTGTACCGGTAAACTGCCGGACGACCATGCCGAGCATAGTTGAAATCCCCGAGTTGATGTCGCAAAACGGTGGATCGGCACAGTCGATCTTACTTGTTGCATATCTTGGAGGTGCTTCAACTGTAGAGGAGGAGAAAGTATTAAAATAGCATCTAGTACAATTACTTGATTCATAATTTGTTATGACGCTCTTCTTCTAGCGACTGGTACTTATCCTACCAGCCAAAAAAATACTTTATATAGTTTGTTGTTGTGAGTCTGTGTGAGGAGTGTTGGAAGTCCTACAGATGACTCCCCTGAGTCAGATAGTGACGAGTCTAAACCGTCATTCATCAACCGTGAGAGTATGGAGAACCAGTCATGGGCAGATGTTGTTCGAAAGATGAACGATTGAATTACAGTAGTTTAAAACTGTGTAGAGAGTTTTGGGATGACCGAAAGCATGAGTTTGCTTTGGCCATTCGAAAACTCTTATCCCAACTGAAGCAAGTTTTATTAACGACTTTAAGGTTCATGGTATTAGGACTACGTTACGCCGAACAACTGAAGACTGATCGTCTCAGAGTATCGTAGGGTCTTTTATTATCTAACATAAGGGTTTCCGAATCACCACAATTCACGCAGACAACGAATTTGGAAAGGTGGAGAAAGATGACTTGCCGGCCCGACTAGTCTGCTGTGAAGTGGATGACCACGTCCCCGAGATTGAAAGGTCTGTTCAGACCATGAAAAACGACAGTCGGTCAACATGCCATGCGATGCCATTTTTGTGCTACCCGAGAATGATGGTACGAGCCATCATCAAGACTGGAGTTGTTTTTCTCAACGCTTTTGGATCCGCCGAACAAAGTACGAATAAGCTCTCGGCTCGAAACATTATTGAAAATCTCCCACACGTTGACCACAATCATCTGAAATACAAGTGCGGCGAGTATGTTCAATTGCATGTGACTGAAAAAAGTAACGAATACAATGAAAAGTCGGACCATTGGAGCGATAGTTTTGGACCCAGGAAATCTGACTGGATGATACAACTTCATGTCTCTGGAAACCGGAAGAGAAATCAATGGGCGAGTGACAATGGCGATGCCTATCATTGACGACGTGATGATCAAGAGAGTGAAAGAACTCGGACTTGAACAACAGCAGCTGTATCGAGAATCAAAAATGCTGAAGTATGAATGGCAACCAGGACAACCAATCACCGCGGATGACATTGCTGCACCTGCTGAGGCAGCACAAGACCCCCTAATCTTGCCTGAACCTATCAACATAAATCTACCAAATGCTGAACCCATCCTTTCGTACCTATTGATGTGGATGATCTGCCAGGAGCGGATGAAATTGAGACAGAACTACCGGACAATCAAGAGGAACAAGGGGGGAACTAAAGGAGCGCAAGGAGCGGAAACTCAAGGAGCGCAAGTTGAAGCACTGGTCAAAGATCAAGGAGCGCAGAACGGCAACCAAGAGCAACCACAAGACGTGATAGAAGAAAATGATGAAAACGAAGATGACGATTTCTCGGCAGAAGTGGATGTGACTGACAATGAAACGGAAGATGAAGCTGATGCCGACAATTTGGGAGATACCGAAGAGGACGTGGCAACAGTGGACGAGAAGGAGGACGGGGACCAATTAGTAGTAGTGGCAGCCAGTAATCCGGAGGACAAAGAACAAAGAGGAGGCCATCTTGACACGAACGAAGGAGAAGACTTCGGAAGAGGAAAGAGAGAAAGAAAGCCCGCTGAAAAGTATTCAGCATTGCAAATAACAGGGATCAAGAAGACCTCTGGAAAGGTAAAGGGAAAAGTGAACAGCTTTCAGAGGAGAAAAAGAGCCGCTCACAATAAGAAAAGAAATAAGACTAGCAAAAGTTCGATCACAAAAAGAAAGGCCAAAAGGAAAAAGAGGCCAAAAGGAAAAATATTTCCTTTTCGTTTTTGAACAAGAGGTTCGAAGATTTGGAAAAGGAAGAAAAGGTGGATTTCTTCACTTGTGCATGGGAGGAACACCAGCTCACCGGAAAGACTCACCTTTTGGAGCGATATACCACGGGACTTGCGTTTGCCCAAATGTCTGCCAAGCAGGGCATCAAGAAGTACGACAAAGAAGCAGAACTGAAGCTAATTGCCGAGTTCGCACAGCTACTAGAGTTCCAAGTTTTCCACGGAGTTAAAGCAGACGGACCCGACGGCATCTCTTTTGAAGAAAAGAAAGGAGCCGGAGACATGATTAATCTTATTGAGGAAAAGATCAATAGAGGACACACCGATGAGAATCCAGTGCTAAGAGCTAGGAGCGTTTTCAACGGTCGAGTGCAGCGGGGAATCTACACCAAGGATGAGACAGCTTCTCCTACTGTGGATCAAGACTCACTTTTCATCACCTGCATTGTTGACGCGATCGAGGGAAGGTTTAAGGCCACCAGCGACGTCAGAGGAGCGTACCTGAATGCAAAGATGAAAGATCGAGTAATCATGCGCATTTCGGGACCCGAAGTCGATATCTTCTGTGATCTTGATCCCAGTCTAAGGGAATTTGTCACCGTCGTGAAGGGCAAGAAAGTGCTGTACGTACAATTGGACAGAGCATTATATGGGTGCGTAAAAAGCTCGATGCTATGGTATGAACTTTACTCGGAAACTCTCATGGATATGGGCTTCAAGCTTAATCCATACGATCTGTGCGTCGCCAACTGTGACATTGATGGAAAGCAATGCACGATTTGCTGGTATGTAGACGACAACAAGATCAGCCATATGAAAGCCAAGTTCGGCAAGATGACGAACAAGTTCGGCGAAGAGCACGAGTTTTTGGGAATGAAGATAACATACAAAGACGGCAAGGTGGAGATCAGCATGAAGAAACACATTCAGAAGGCGATCGATATGTTTATGGATGATATCAATAGAGAGGCAACTTCGCCTGCCAAGGCCTATCTTTTTGATGTGAGAGAAGCTGCGAAAGATTTAAACAAGGAAAGGGCTGACAATTTTCACAGCGTAACAGCGTCACTTTTGTACGTCTCAAGACGATGCCGTCTAGACATTCAAACCGCCATCGGATACTTGTGCACTAGAGTAGGATGCCCAGATGAAGACGATTGGGTCAAGCTCAAGAGAGTCCTGCAGTATCTGAAAGGATCGATAGATTTAACAAGAGTCATTGGTGGAGACAACATCAGAAGAATGCAAGCATGGGTGGATGTTTCGTATGGAATCCACGACGATTGCAAAAGTCACACTGGAGGATGCATCTCTTTTGGCTGGGGGGTGATTTCGACCATGTGTAAGAAACAGGGGCTTAATGTGAAGAGCTCAACTGAAGGAGAAGTCGTGGGTGTGAGCGATTTTTTGCCAAACATGATTTGGGTTAGGATGTTTTTGGAACAGCAGGGTTTTGAACTGGAAAAGAACACTATGTACCAGGACAATCAGAGCGCTATGAAGATCCTTTTGAACGGTAAGAAGTCAGCCGGAAAAAGGTCGAAACACATCGACAATCGTTTTTATTTTATTAAGGATCGATTGTTGTCCGAGGGAATCGATGTGGTGTACTGTCCGACCGCGAAGATGCTGGCGGATTTTTTCACCAAACCTTTGCAAGGTAGTTTGTTTCGAAAGTTTCGCGATGTGGTTTTAGGATACAAACACATCGATTCTCTACTAGAGGATGATGAGGAAGAATCAGTCAAGGAGCGTGTTGGAAGTCGTACAGACGACTCCCCTGAGTCAGATAGTGACGAGTCTAAACCGTCATACATCAACCGTGAGAGTATGGAGAACCAGTCATGGGCAGATGTTGTTCGAAAGATGAACAATTGAATTACAGTAGTTTAAAACTGTGTAGAGAGTTTTGAGATGACCGAAAGCATGAGTTTGCTTTGGCCATTCGAAAACTCTTATCCCAACTAAAGCATGTTTTATTAACGACTTTAAGGTTCATAGTATTAGGACTACGTTACGCCGAACAACTGAAGACTGATCGTCTCAGAGTATCGTAGGGTCTTTTATTATCTAACAGAGGAGTGAGCTCATCAAGTTTCTCATGTCACGCGGACGAAGGCGGATGCCATACAAAACCAATAGCTTCGAGTTCTTGGATGCGACGAGTCGAAAAAGTTGATTGGGTCGTGCTCCTGGATGTCGTAGTGTCACCGACCTTGTAGCTCATCTTCTTTTTGTATTGGTATCTCTGTCTCTTGACCCATCGAGCGAGGGTGGGATCCCTTGAATAAGAGTGAGGAACGCAACAGTGTCCATGTTGAAGCTTGAATTGTACAAGCTTTTGGAATTGAGCTTGCCATTGCTTCTCTTGGAACAGGCGAATGCCAGCTTTGTTCTCTTCTTCTTCTACAGTATCCTCAGCTTGGTCTTCTCGTGGAAGTTTTTTCGGGATCAGGAGGAGATCCATGAAAGAAGAGAAAACAAAATTATGTTGCTGCTGTGCTTCCATGTTGTTTTGGTCATGGTCAAAAGACGTAGGCAACAGAAGGTGCGAAGGAGTCGTTGGTATCTGCATGTAGCTGTAGCTATCCTCTAGAATCCTGTCAATGTCAGCAGTAGGAAAGACTTGGCGAAATAATTTGTATTTTCCCCGACGATGCGCCAATTAAAGAAATTGTGATCCCATTTCTAGCTTGTTTTTAATACAAAGTGCGATTGCTCATCCTTCTCAATCGCTTTGGATTTCGCAGACTCCAATTGGGCCTAGTGCCCAACGTGAACGCTAGTGCCCGACGTGATCAACAAGAACATCGGTCAAGCGTTGCATCAAAGGCTCGGACTGTGTGTGGAGATACCGAAAAACTTCATCGGAGCGCCACCGACCGAGTAGTTTGATGAGACTAGT